AGATTGGTTAACTGAATACAGGATATATGAATTTGGTTTACTGAATAATTTTTCCCATGACCATTCATATAAAAAATAATTAATCCCAGTCCAGCTAAACACAAAGTCCAAAATCACTGCCTTCTACAATACAGCATGAACGTCATTGGCATCCTCTCCTCCTCCCTTACTCCCCATAGAGGTCACTGGCAACTGGTCAATTGGCCACATGCGGGTGAGGATGGGTCTGATTGCTAAAGGAGAGCGTTTCCGGTTCTTGTGTGGGTGGAACCCATCCAACCCTGAGCTCCGGAAAGGAGTTCTCTCTTAGGTTTAGCCCGGTTAGATGAATAATTTGGTTTATTGTCATTTGAGAAACTGAAAATTCAATTAACAGAATTTCCTTATACAGGATTCAAATCTAATCAAAAATGAAAGAGAAACTTAAAAAAAATTCTCCAATGAGAACAGAGTGCTTTCAGAACAACATTACAGGAAGTTCCAGGCCAGTTTCTTTTCTGAGGCAGAAATATCTTCAACAGGAAATGAAGTGAGTCAGTCACCAACGGACAACTGAATGATTCAGAAATTCCCTAGGATTCCCCTTCCACTGCCACAAAGAAATTCCAACATTCATGATCAAACTACATGTCTCTACAAAACAAAAAAGGAAAGTGTAAAAAAAACTTTAGGCTGCTCAAACCAATGAGATCTAAGTTTCTTTCAAGTGACAAGGCAATAAGTTAATTTAACAGTTGCTGCAGGCTTCAAATGAAAATAAGTTCTCCTGGTGTCTTGACCAATTATTCCATCAGCTAAAATTACCAACAGATTAATTTACTGTCTGTGGGTAATGTCTTGCATTGCAATAGTTGCAGAGTTTGCTTACATATATCATAATTGAAGATGTTTCAATGTGATAAAGGCAATTTATCAAAACATACATCAGTAAACCAAAGCCAAGAAGCTAAACAGAAGCTTCTCAGATACACAACTTTCATACTGTCAATCTTACTTTAAGGATTCATATAACACATCTTAGACAGCACAGTTATTAATCTATGTAGAAACGCCACACAAGCAATCCTTTCCAACATGTGAAAAAGAATCCTGTGGTGTTTTCCTCTGATGAGTCAGTGCACCACATGGTGTAGCACTGAATGATATAAATTAGAATACCGTAGGCCCATTTTAATTTCCTTTGTGCCAAATTAAGAAATTTGACTTGAAGCACAAAGGGAATGCTATTATTGGCACTGGTGTTTAACTATTCAGTAATACATTATTCTCCTTCCACCCTATGGTTGAAGAACCTTGGGAGGCACTCACTATTTGAATAGCCATCTGAGTGACCACTCACTGTCCAAGCTCACAAACAGTCATTTGGATAAGACACCAGAAAACCAGTCATTTGTGGAACCATGCTGCAAAAAAAAAACATTTTAAGTGATAGTGTACATTTAGGCATTCGTTAGAAAAGTATAACATGATGTTATACCAGGAATCCCCAAATACTGAGTCAACAATTCAGCCATTCAACCAGCAACAACACTACAACAACAACATGGATTTATATAGCGCCCTCCATCCCGGACAGCATCTCAGAGAGCTTCACAGTAATGGATCCCGGGACCGAGCCAGTGGGAGGAGGAGGAAGATGACCAAAGGCGTGGTCGAAAAGAAAGGTCTTCAGTAGAGACCTGAAAATAGGAAGGGAGGGAGCGAGGCGAAGGGAGTGAGGAAGGCAGTTCCAAAGCCCAGGGGCATAGTGGCTGAAGGCACGGCCGCCGAGGGTGGAGCGGAGGAATTGGGGGACGAGGAGGAGGCCAGACCCGGAGGAACGAAGGCAACGGGTACTGTTTTGAGGAGAGAAGGGGTCAGAGAGGTAGGTGGGTGCAGAGGAGTGCAGGGACTTGAATACAAGGGTGAGGATCTTGAAATCGAACTACATTTGTAAAGCACCTTTCACTTCAGGAGGACGTCCCAAGCAAAGGCCAGACAGTTCCAAGAGGAAGAGAATGACAAACCGTGAGACTGTCTCCCCACTCTTCCTTATTTTTCACCATAACTACTGGTGGGTAATTTCAAACTGAGTAATACAAGTGGAGGCCCAGTTTGCGTGCGTCAATTTAAACACCCGTTTCCAACTTTACAGGATTCTCTCAAATACACAATAAAATCCACTATAAGGATTTGTTCTGAAATACACCTCCAATTTTCTCTCTGGTTTGAGATAAGAGCAACTGAAACAGAAAGTTGCAATGCTGAGAATAGATGGAAGAACGATTTCTGTCAGGCTAAGCAACATCATTTGAAGCAGTCAGATACTATACTACATTTCCAGTGTGTGCAGATTTTTTAAATGTTACTGGGTAGGAACAAACAGGAACTGACCATTTAGCCTGCTCCACCATTTTATTAGATCATGGCAGATATTTGAAAGCCTACCTTTTCTCCATATTTGGAGCCCTGTAGCTCAGTGGTTAGAGCACTCGCTTTGCAAGTGAGAGACCTGAGTTCAATTCCAGGCAGAGGGTGAAACCTTGGGCAAGTTTCCTTACTCCACACAGAGCCTAATAATAATCCCTCCAAAAAAACAAAAACAATAATAAATTGGTCATTTTCAATCCATGACTGTTTGTGGGACATTGCTGTGCGCAATTGGCTGCCGCGTTCGCCCACAAATATACAGTCAATTCACTTTACAGTATATTCTGTGAAGCGCTCTGGGACGTCCAGAAGACGCGAAAAGCGCAATATCAAATGCAAGGATTATTATTATTATCTCTAATACCCTTACTTCCCTAGTATTCATTTTAAAAAATTCTATTGATTTTGCCTTTACAGCCTTTGTGGCAGTGCGTTCTACATTTTTCCAACCACTTGTGAAGAAATAGTTTTCTAATCTTACTTTTAACTGGCTTAGCTTCAAGTCAGGAACCTCTTGTTTTGGACCTATCTACCAGGGAGAAAAATCTGTTCAAATACAGCATGTTTTACTGTTTAAATTGACTATTTAAAAATGTTGTATTCAGAAGCTAATCAAAAGTTGATGCAAGCATTTTTTTTTTGCATGACTTAGTAACTTATGACTAGAAAGTTCCTCCTTTAGGACTGAACATGCAACTAAGATATTAAAACTGCTTACCACTGGTTACCTAAGGAGAATTTTTTTTCTACTGAATTCAAAACAATCACAGTCATGAGTTTGAGTGGAGTGTATAGTGCACCAGATTGTAAAGCTTTGTTACTTTAAGGATTGATATAACACATCGATTTAGTTATGCTCATATTTGTTTCAGAGGCCTGAAAGATGAAATGAAAAGGAAGCTTGGTGGTTGACAAATTTCTTGAATTGATACAAATATCCTTAACAATTAAGCATTCAAAACACGGTTTATTTAATTAAGATGCGCAGAATACAATCAACAACACAAGACAACATAAAGTGCCTATCCACACAAAATTTATGGCTGCATATTATCAAATTATGAGTTGTTCAGGATTTCTAACACAAACACTTTGTATGAAATCCCCATGTAATCTGTTGAAAGTTATCATCCTGGAAACCTGTAGCAATGCTAACAGACGATAATGTCCTTCTGCAAACACTATAAAAGCACTGCCCTGGGGCATTGGAACTAAAGGCTAAAAGCATTATCTACGTATAAAAATAAATTGCATGATATATTGCAAGCTGCACATCAAAATAATTTACCAGCTGCAGCTGCAAACTTGGCATTCAAACAAGATTCCTAAACCATTTGAGCTTTGATTTTACAACTCAAAATTCCTCAGATTATAACTATTACTCCTTCCAATGTAACTGTGTATTCAAAAGCACCTTGCAGCATTTCCCGGTCAGCTATTGACAAACTTCCAGTAATTATGTCACAAGCAGCAAGCCTTCCATGTGAACACAACCGCACGGACTACAAGGAGCACACTGGCCAATGTCCACTGTGAACATAAATCAAACCACACCCACAAATTCCGCTAATAAAACAATTGGGAATTATTGCACGGCTGTAAATCACGTAAGGGTATTTGAGAGCTCAGTCGGTAGCCCATTCTAAACTACCGGTGGTCCTTGTTTTATTTTTGTTTCGGAATCACTGCAATGAGATCATTTACAGGTATACGTGGTTTTAAACCTTAAGGATAAACAATGAATGAATGAAAATGAATGAATGAATGAATGAATGGCAGGTGCGTTACAAAACAGAAGACATGCTGCTGCTGCTGCTGCATCGGTAGCCAAGTTTCAGATCACGCCTTAATATACCGTACCCCGGACTCAGTAATTGCAGTCTCACCAGTCTGCCAATAGGGTACGGCGCGTCGATTCTCTTTTTTTCCTTTTTAATTTTTTTTAAAAAAATTTTTTTTAATTTTAATTTAAAAAAATCAAAATCGTTTCCCCCCCCTCTCTCACACTTCCCTCCCCACATCTGACAAAGGAGAAACCCCGGACAACTGTCGACACCAAGAAAGACGAGGTTTTAAGAGTTGGTCCCTGATATCGTTTACGAACACTCCGAGTGAGGTTCTCGGCCCATTGTATGAACTGCAGGGAATGGGGGGGGAGGAGGTGGGGGGGGGGGGTTGTTGGGGGGAGGGGGTGTTTGGGGGGGAGAGAAGGGACCAACTTCCAACCCAGCCGCCTGTTACTCCCCACCAGGCACTGTTGTGCCGGCTGCGGCAGGAGAGCACAGCTTTTTTTTTTGGGGGGTGGGAGGGAGGCAAAGGGCGAGGAAACTGCAGCTACTTTTCCAACCTCACCACCATCGAGCGCCACAGCGGCTTTTCCGTTCAACCCATTTCCTGCCTTGTTTTACTCACTCCGACCGAGAGTCGAACGTCGAGGCCTTCCTCCCTCCCTCCGCCCGTCCGTCCGTCCGCCCCAAACATCCTTCACAACACAAGGCCGTGAAGGGCGGCCCGGGATGGCCGGCCCCGGCCCCGGCCTCCACCCCGCCCCCCGGCCGGGGCGAGCTCGCCAGCCGGTCCCCTTCACTCACCTATGGTGGAGATGAAGGTCGTGTTGAACGCGTCCTCCGAGAACCTGAACAAAAGGCAGGTCTTGCCGACGCCGCTGTCGCCGATGAGCAGCAGCTTGAAGAGGTAGTCGTACGTCTTCGCCATTTTGCTGACTGCTGCCCCTCTCTCTGCTCCTGCGGCTGGAGGAAAACCCTGAGCGCGAGGCGAGGGCGCGCACGCGCGCGGGGGGGGGTGGGGGCGCACGTCAGCGGCCCAACCGCCCAGCCCCATTGGCTGCCGACCCCCACCGCGCGTCACGTGGGGGGGCGGCGGCGGCGAACCGGCACCGCGACGTGTGCGCGTGCGCGCCGTGCGCAAGGCCCGCCGGGAGTTGTAGTTCCCCCCTCCCTCGATGCAGACACAATGCACAGACAAGACACTGTCTGACAACTTCAGTGATGTTATACTTCGTCCCCACCCCACCCACCCACCCCCGTTACCAGGGCCTTGGGACGTTGTTGTTGTCGTTATTGTTGTCACACAAACGTTACAGCCCCCAAATGATGCACAGGGAATGTTGGCATTTTATTTATACTCAGTATGCGATGGTATTAGAAAATGTGAAATTATTTATTATTAATTGACAGCGAATGAGTGCACGCATTCAATTCATTTGATGCTTGTATAAGTACGAGGGCAATGCAATAAAGACATGCATCTCGATTCCACAATTTTACATAACTAGATAAACCATCTATGTATAATTGAGTTAGGTTAACACTTGCATGTTTAACCATTGGACTTTTTGATATTAAAAACGTGTATTTTGGTTAACTATTGTCTAGATTTAAAGTAGAGTGGACTGTTTAATTGGACATCAATACAATATAAATATTATATAAACACATAAGTTCAAAGTATTAAATGTGTTGCAAAATGTGTTATTAAGTGTGTTGCAAAACAGTTACAAAGGATTAAGAAATTAGCAAAATGAGGCTTTGCCAAATATGAAAGGAAATCGTCACTGGCCCACAAAGATTGATGCAGGAATTCGCTCAAGTTGACAATAAAATTGAAAACGTACCTTATAGAAATTGTGAACTCATAGAAGCAAAAGGAGTCCGAATTCATAATGAAAAGAGCCTTATTTTAATCATGTAACAATCAACTATTTGAAGTCCTGATGTTCATCTACTGTGCCAAACAACCACCACGATCATATTATTATATTATTATTATAGATTGAATCTTAAATTGCTGATAGTATTTCAAAGCCTAACCGTTCGATGAATTGCTATTCATAAGGCACATTTTTCTCAACAATATTTTATCCGATTCTTGCTCCGCTTCCCCTTTTTTAAAGCAGATTACTGAATAATTGGGATATTCCGATTTTAAAACACTTCCTGCAACTGGGAGCACTGTGGTTTTAAGATCCTCCAAGTGGGGTGTGTGTGTGTGGGTGTGTGTGTGTGTGGAGAACCATCGTGTGTTTTCGTAGCGCTCTATCGACGAAAAAAAATACCCGAGCGGTGAAGATTTAGGTTTTGGAATCAACGTGTATTATTATTCAATTGAAATAAAAACGAAACAACCGAGTGGCAAATCACGCGAAGTGTCTCGGATCCGATTTGCCTGAACATTAATAACCACTGATACTCCAAACAAACAAACAAACAAAAAAATGCAATTTTTTTTCTGGGGATGGGGTGGAGGGAGGTGGTGGTGGGGGGGGGTGGGGGGGTTCATACCTTTCTACACCTAAAAGTAGAACCGAGCCCACAAAACAACACGAGCAAAAGAACATCCACGTCGCTTTCGTACCCCCTCCCTTCCCCCCCCACCCCCTAAATTTCCCCTGTAAACGTGGTGAGAGGAAGCGGAAATCCCACGTGTTTTTGCTTATCGAAAGAGGTGTAAAGTCCCTCGTGTCAAATAACCAGAAGAAGGAGAGAGGAGGAGGAGAAGAAGAAAAAGAAAAAAAAAGGGGCCACAAGTGAGCGATCAGAGGTGGAGCCGACGATGCCTGTAAGTCGCTGCCCGGGCGCTGAGTGCTCCCCCCGCGACACTGTAGCCAGTCATGTGGATACATTGTATCGCTGCACCGAAGTTAGTTTGCGGGGGGTACGGGGGGGTACAGAGGGGGGGGGGGTACAGGGGGGGGTACAGAGGGGGGGGAAAAGAAAAGAAAAAAAAACATGTGTCACGTTCGCACAGCGAAGCCCCCCCTTACCTCCCCCCCCCCACACTTTGAGGGCTGTACTGTATTTCGGGCCCCGGGATTTCGAGATATTAGTTTCCATTTGGCTTTGGGACGAGGAAACCAACAGCACTCAGTCAGTGAGAGAGAGAGAGAGCCCCCCAACCCTCCACCTCGCCCCCCCCTCCACCTCCCCCTCGCCCCCCCTCCACCCCTCCACCTCCCCCTGGCCCCCCCCCACCTCCCCCTGGCCCCCCCCCACCCACCCCTCCACCTCCCCCCCCACCCCTCCACCTCCCCCCCACCTCCCCCCCACCCCTCCCCCTCGTCCCCCCCCCCCAGCCCACCTCCCCCTCGTCGTCCCCCCACCCCACATCCCCCTCGCCCCCCCCCACACCCCACCTCCCCCCACACCCCCCACACCCCCAGCTATTAGCAAAACCCACCCCACCACACCCCATTCTGTAGATGCTGATACTTCCCGTTTTTAGTGTGTTGTTTTGCATAACCAGGAAAAAAGCCCCTGAAAATGACGTGCATAGTGTTTTTTTTAATTCATGCAGTAACAGAGCCAGATTGAGCTGCTGATCTCTCTCTCTCTCTCTCTCTTTCTGTTCGTTGCTTTATCAATGTGACCTGACTGATCAAATTGATTTCCTTGCCCCAGTTTTGACAAGGCGAAGGCAGGGGTCCAACCCAACATTGCGACACAAAACAAGGAAAATAACAGTAATACTCGCATTGGATTTAATTTCGCCCACACGTATACGGTCAATTCACGTCACAGTCAATAGACTACTGTGAAGCGCTTTGAGACGTCGAGCAGATGTGAATAAGCGCTCTACCAAGTGCAAGGATTATTATTATATTGCTGTTATCATCGCCTTTATCGCGTCTGCGAGACGTCCCAAAGCTCTTCAGGGAATATTACTGTAAAATGAATTGGATTATATTTCGCGGGCGAAACAAATATTTTGAAAGTGCACGTTTCTCCCCACAATAGTGGAGAGACTATGTAATGGGGAAGAGAACAGTACCTAATCCCACCGGTGCATGTTTTTTTCAAATTTTAAAGAATGGAAAATTAAGGGGAAAGTGGTGGATTTTGATGCCACACTTTTGAACCTCGGCATATGCTTTTGAGGGGGTTTTCGCATCAAAAGATTCACACCTTCAACCCCCTGGTTCTCTCCTTCTCCCTGCTTCTGAGTTCCTCAACTCAGTTGTGCCATTGTTGCATAGAAAAGTCGTCAAAAGTTGTTGTGGCAACTGACTGAGTGGCTGACGGACAGACCTAGGAACAAAATGATGGGACTGTTCTCCTAGTCGCATTGATGCATTGTACAAGGAGACACAGGAAGGAACACTTAAAACTGATGCTTAGCCTTCCTTCCTCCTATCCCAACCCTTATAAGGAAGCCACATTTAAAGGAAATGTGTACATGAAATCGGAATGATTCAAAATCAGTTCCATCAGTTAGGTAATTAGGTTTACATTAATTCATTGCTTTGTGATTAGGTGATGACTTTTTACATTTTTTTTAATCTATTGCATTTGATGGCTGATTACTTACTTACTCTTTGTTTGCCACATCAGGAGGCTTGTGAATAAGTACAGCTCAAAAGACAAAATATATCAGTTTTTAAATGGTTTCTGTTAGCAAAGATGGAAACTTTGCCAAACTAAGTTAGTTGTGCAATTCTCTCAATTCACAGATAATAATAATCCTTGCATTTGATATAGCGCTTTTCACGTCTTCTAGATGTCTCAAAGCACTTCACAGAGTATACTGTAGAGTGAATTGACTGTATATTTGTGGGAGATGTTCAAAAACTCCAGAAGTAGTTGATACCCTGGATTTATCCTCAAACCTTTTGATGGCAAAATAGAAACTCCTGTAGACCCAATACAACTATAACTTTATTTTAAATAATCTGGCAGTACTGACTTCACTCGAATAGAGTTGTCAGGTCTCTAAGAACAGTTTTGTAATGGAATGGAAATTTTTATTCTTTGTCTCATTGATCATTTCCTTCCATTCTCCCTTTCTGTTGAGTTAATAGCGCCTGCCTTGCTTTGTTACCTTGCGAGTAATCTTTGTAAAATATATATTTTTCACATTACTATATCTTATAGTTAGCGAAGGATTTGCTGCACCCAACCCTTGAAGAGGAGAGGAGGCAGCATAAGAAGAAGCGGTTGGTGCAGAGCCCTAATTCCTACTTTATGGATGTCAAATGTCCAGGTATTGTTCTGAGACAACAGTCGTTGGGATCCGAACAGTATTATGCAATACAATTTACATTTTGTACAGTGCTTTTCACTTTGGGAGGATGACTCACAGTTAACTGGCCAGGAAGTTTTCATACTCTCCTCTCCGCCCACCTCCCCTCCCTCAAATACCATGGTCTCTTTCCTGTCTTGTTTTCAAGAGGGTGAAAAGAACTCTAAAACATTGTTTGGGTTTTGCAAATAATTGCTCTATTCTCTCTAAGAAAATATCCACCCAAAATATATTATTGTAATTTTCATGTTTTAAAATCTTACTAATACCACATACCCAATAGGATCATCTACATGTACCTTTAGTATAGAATATTTACTTCAAAATAATACTCACAGTCCTGTACAATGTAGATTTGTATCATGATTGAATACTGTCATTACAGAGCAGGCTGAACAAATTTGTACTGTTTGATTTGCAGCGTAGATTAAGATAAATACACACAGTGGTCTCACATAGGTCAGATTATCTGAGCGAACTTTATTTAAACAGATATTGCAGTACACCAATTGAGCTTATTTGAAGTCACATGTTATGTATGGATTCCAGAACCTGTCTGATCACAGTACTTCCACAAATTCATTTCCCCCCGCCCCCCAACTAATTAGAGACAGGATATTTATTACTTCCAAGCAAAGCAACGGTTCTTCACTTCTGAGCTCAGACAATGAGTGTACCAATTCTCAGTCTGTCCTAACTTCCATGCAGCCTAATGTGGGTCCTTACTCATAGTAAAGGAGATACAAAAATTCTTTAAGCTTTTATATTTAAAAAAAATTGGGTCACAGAGTACACATACATTTTGTTTTTCAAACAATCGCAGGATACAAATGTGCAGACTATTTACATCTGACGACATCACTGCCTGATGTCGCTTGGGGAGGGTTTGTTACTGTGTTAAACTTTGTCATCTAACATATGTTAATTCTAAACTATCTTCCAGGCTGCTACAAAATCACAACCGTTTTCAGCCACGCTCAGACTGTGGTGCCATGCGTAGGCTGCGCGACTGTACTCTGTCAGCCCACAGGGGGTAAAGCCAGGCTTACAGAAGGTAGGTGGGGAAGTTTGTGACATCTGCTTTTTTAATATAAGTGAAACTGTTTTTTATCGCTTTTCGTCTGCAGTTTTAAGTTCATTTTTTAAAAATCAACCACTGTGCTCTGGACAGAAGCCAAAAATCTGTCATCAGTTTTGTAACTCATAATACCCAACCAACAACAACAGCTTTATTTATATATAGCGCCCCTCTTGCAGGATAGGGTCCCGGAGCACTTGACAGTGGCAGAGCACAACTCCAAGCCGGGGGGAGGGGGAGGTGACTGTAGGCACGGTCGAATAGGAAGGTCTTCAGGTGCGACCTGAAAATGGGGAAGTAAGGAGCAAGGCGTAGGGGCTGAAAGCACAGCCACCAATGGTGGAATGGAGGGGACATGCAGAAGCCCGGAGCTAGTCGAGCGGAAGCAACGGATTGTGGGTTGGGGAGGAAGCAGGTTAGAGGGGTAGGGAGATGCCAGGGCATGTAGGGATTTGAAAACGAATGTGAGGATCTTGAAATTGACACGTTCGGTGACGCAGAGCCAGTGGAGCTTGACTAGAACTGGTGTGATGGGTGTTCGGAATTTAATACGGGTGAGTATGCAGGCGGTGGAGTTTTGGATTATTTGGATGGTGGATTTGGGGAGACTGGCAAAGAGGCAGTTGAGAAGTCCAGTCAGGAGGTGACGAACGCATGGATGAGGGTTTCGGATGTGTACAGGGTAAGGGCCGAGGTAGGCAATGTGGCGAAGGTGTAGGAAGGCGGTTCTGGTCATGGACAGGATGTGGGGAAAGAAGGACAGCTGTGGGTTGAACCTGACGCATAGGTTGTGCACTGATTCTGTAACTCTGAGGGATAGGCCGAGGAAGTTGAGGAGGTCAGAGCCAGAGGATAGCAGATGTTGACGGGGGCCAATGAGGATGGCTTTTGTCTTATCAACATTGAGTATAGGAAGTTTTAACTCTTCCAAGCCCTGATGTTCGCTAGACAAGCTACAAGAACATCGGCAGACTTGGGATCGCAGCTGGAAGAGAAATAGATTTGTGTGTCATCCACATACATGTGGAAGTTTACCCCATGTCTGCAGATGACATCGCCAAGAGGAAGCATATAAATGAGGGAAGGAAGGGGCAAGGCGGAAGGTTAGAGGAAGAGTGTTCCAGAGTTTCGGGGGGTAGTGGCTGAACAACAAACAATGTGTATTTTTTTGTTTCTTTTAGGTTGCTCATTTCGGAGAAAACAACACTAAACGTCATCAGGAGGGTTGTTTGGGCTACATTCCTACATTAGTTGAAAATGTGTAGCACCACTGGGATGTAAATGTTATTTCATTGATTCCAATAAATGTTTAAACAGAAATCTACACTGAAGACAGAGGGCATCCAGCTCACAGAGCAAGGATATCACTTCAATCCCATTGCCCCTTCCAGCCTCTAACTTTCAAATAACTGTTGACTTTCCTCTTGAAAGCTACTATGGAGTCCAGCTCCACCATCCTACCCGGTAGGGCGTTCCACATTCCGATGGAAATTACTACTATTTATGCTAATAAAATCCCTCATGATTTTACACACCTCAACCAGGATCCCCAACCTTCTCTGCTCCGATGAAAACAAGCCCAGCTTCTCCAATCTCCTCTCATAACTATAGCCCTGCATCCCTAGCAACAATCTTGTAATCCTCCTCTCCACCCCTTCAAGGCCCTAACATATTTCCTGAAGTGGAGGTGCCCAGAAGTAAAGTGAGGTGTGCAATACTCCAGTGGCAGACAAACCAATGATTTATACAAGCAAATAAGTACATTCAGCTTTGTTGGATAAGTGTATTTCCAGTGTTTCAATGCTGTGCAGATACAACATCTAACCATCAATAAAAATCAGAATAGCATCCAAACAAATGTCTACTGTATTTTTATTTGTTTTAGTTATGTTGGTTAATTTCAAACAATGCCTACCTTCATTTGATGTAGTACCAATAATATCAAGACACTTAAAATAACTTCACATAAAACTGCTGTAAAGCTAAGTAGTGTATTTTAGATAGACAGAATGTACTACTGATAACCAATATTAGGATTTTTAATAATTTTATTTGAAATGTGATTGACCATATTTAAAGTATATACAGCATATATAAACGCAAATTTTGCAAGCAGTTGGATAGCAGTGAATCAAATACTTCAGTGTTAGCAACAGAATAAGCTACTAGTAATTGTTACAGAATAGAGTTAAATAATCACCAAATTTGGGACCTGGCAAGAACCTGCAATACAGTATTGGTGGTAGAATTCAGGTAGCGGTGGAACAGCATTTGTGACACAAATAAAACTAGATAAATGATTTGAAAAAAAATCGTGGAAAAGAGAAACATACATCATTAGAAGAAACATTCTGGCGAAAATTTAGTCCACGTCTGAACATCATCTGTTAACAACAACAAAATTACATTTGTATAGCGCCTTTCATGTCGGGAGGATGTCCCAAGGCACTGCACGGAGCTACCGACCCGAGCTGGGGGTCGGGGTGGGTGAGGGTGGAGGGCAGGGGTGGAATCAGGGAGATCGAAAGCACGGTCGAAGAGGAGGGTCTTGAGGTTGGTCTTGAAGTTGGGGAGGGAGGGGGCGAGATGGAGGGACTGCGAGATGCAGGGACTGCGGGATGGAGTTCCAGAGTTAAGATTATAGAGTTAAGCTTCAGAGGTTTGTATTACGACAAGAACAAACTTGTATTTCTGGGACATACGACGGTTTATTCACATTACACACTTATGGTGAGATAACAGAATATGGAAAAGGTTCAGCACACATCTTTCAATAACCCTTTCCAGTTTCTTTTAATATAATAGATATTTGCATGAAAGCTAATATCTCTGCAAGTAACTGAAAACAGGTGCAGCAAATGACTGAATACTGTACGTGTTGAACTGGAAGTGGTTAGTTATCTAACAATTTCCTCACCAGTCGAGTGCAGACTGCCATTCCATATTGATGGTCTAAATTCTACAGTGTATTCTACACATTTCACCTTGATTATCATTCATTTTGGACTGATACTGGACCACAGACAGGTTATAGATTACCTTGCCCAGATAGAGACAGTGAGAGCTAGACTAAATTCAATTATCGTCTCTTTCAAAACTTCAGTTGCAGGTCAGGTAATATTTTCTGCAGTACAGTTCATGTGAGATAGCACCAACCAGCTTCACCTGTTCCTTGTATGATTTGCAAGGCACACTAAAGGTGAACAACGGCAACTGCAGTACATCAACTTCTTATCAGTGGTGGTTCAAAGCACTATGCCATGAAACACAATATCAATGGTCAAAATTCCCCTGACCTTTCGCTGACTTTTATTAGCGAGTTTCCACTGTACAAAGGATTAAAATTTACAAAACTCACCCAATGGAATCTACAATGCAAAGCAAAAGCTAAATAACCTATGTACGCTAAGTTTGCGAGGGAAAACCTGGTGAAGGTCTCCATTCTGGATCACAATTCTGAATCCGCTGCAAGAATTGTGGACATCAGCCACATTGGACAGACTGGGCTGAGCTGTGACCAACCCACAGATCAATAATCTAAAAATTACTCTACAATCTGCATCACTGAAGTGAAATTACTTAAGAGTTCATTTCATATGGTTTCTCACATTTCATGTATGATATTCTGAGTCCTTTTGACCATTCATGTGTTGCATCTATTCTTAGAGTCTATTTCCTGCTCTTTATCGCAAACAACAAAGAAAAAAAACTATAATGAATTAGATCATCAGATGAATAAGAATCAAACATTCTCTCAGTATTACGTGAAAGGAACTATACAAAAGTAATTTGCTGTTTATTGTTATTATTTTGAACTTCTTGTAAACATTATTCTAGCTTTTAGTTTTTGTTAGCCCTTCATCACTCCATTGTCTATGCAAAATCTTGTAATATTCAAGACTAAGTTCTTGTTAATGTAAAACACTGAAGACCACATTTGCATATAACTTACGCAAAATCAGAAAAATATTCTGTTAAATCATGATTCAACTGGGTCTGGTTTAAGATGTATATAGAAAAAAGCAATTGCAACAAGTAGTGCAAATCACATTATAGATTCATGATATCCTGGAGATATTTAGTTGAAAATGATATTAGTTTCATCAGAAAGTTTTCCAATTCCTTTCATAGATCAATCTATAAAAGCCTTGGAATCACACAGAATTATGCTTAAATATTATGATTTTTGTTCGTCTTGACTTTATAAAATTCCAGTGCAATTTGCAAAGCTGTACTATTGAGTGAGGCAGACTGCATGTTGCAGAGAATGGTAACCACAATGCCTCGTGGTGGAACTTCCGCCTCCTCCGGCAAAGCTGCTGTGTAGATGTCTTCAGGAAGTACAAGTAAGACGCTGCTTGCACCAACTGCTCCACCTGTGTGTGTGAGATAATGGTGCTGCTGGCGACATTGACCGTACTTTTGCTTTTGTTCTATCACACCCCAACCCATGGCATATGTGCCATCTTTGTCCCAAGCCAATTCCGTTTTTTCCACTGGGGTCCACAACATCTTTATGGTCTCTGGCTTGAGGTAGCCTGGCAGATGGCGATGATCTCCTTTCTGAAAGTGCTTGGACTGGTAGCTGTAAAGCATGGCATTTCCAAATTTAAGCAGGTCCTGGACTGTTGAGAGAAAACCACCACCGGCCCATTTGTATGAATTATCCACATAAGGGCAGTTAATAAGATATCCTTTTTTGTTGTAAAAGTAATACCTGTTACAAAACAAAATTGAAAGGATTCAGATTTATAATTACATTAAAAACAGTTAGATAATTGAGCACTCCAGCTAGCTGACAGGAAGTGTGGGTTGGCAGACAAAAGAACTGTGTGTGTTTGTGTCCAGAGACTTGCTTATCTTCATCTTCCAGGCAACGTACAATCTTGAGGAGTCAATAATGTGGGGAAAACAAACATTTTTTTTATAAAGCAGACAACATACTCCTTCAGAGATCCCAAAACTATCTTGAAGAAAATGACAGCAAAAACTGAGCTCCAATTAACCATAGATAACAACAACTAATATGGTAAAAATTAAACATACCTGCTCTACTCTAAAGTAACTCAGAAATCAAAATGACCATCACCAAGCACAACTTTGCTCTGAAACTGCTCTTTGAAATGAATCCATTTAATTCTGCCCAGAACATGAAAAATATTATTTGTCTCTCATTCTGTTATTACCAACTTCAAAGTACCATTTTGTTTTAATAAAACTGATGTAAGGATTCTCTTCATTGGACACAGGATCTGCTTCAGATATGCTGAGAATGGTATGTGCGGCTATATCCATTGCTTTACCACTGCTTGGAATGATTTAATTAATATTAGAATTATTTAACATCATCAGAAATTCTAGCTCTTTTGGAAATAATTAATCGAAAATGACTACATGTTTGATATCCAAAACTCAGATTGGGACTTTGATCGAAAGTGCAATCAGTGGAAAACGTAATGAGGTTAATAGCTCATAAAACAGGTGAAGCATTAATAGTTGATTTGCAGAATACAGTACTTGCAATAGTCAAGGTGCACAGCAAAGAGGTTCTAAACCAATCAAGAGAGAACTATGAGCAGTTCACTCAGAGTTTATTGTGACAAATACTGTGTTAAATAATTTACGCAATTTTTTATACAATTTGTATGACCTATGCCACTTTCATCACCACATACAGTGGTTTAGAACCTTTACGTTTGCTGAGGTTGTAGCATTGACCATTAGGTCTTTTTCTAAAAGGAGAAGCAATGTTTAGGTCACATAACAGGAAGGGCCACACCACAGCAGACTATAGGTTAAGCGTTCTCTGCAATAACACACCACCTGAAAAGGAACATATTTTTTACCCAAAGTTGCTTTGCACTTTCTTCCCTTTGTGGGTCTCGGCAAGACCTCTAATCAATACTGCAGTAGCCAGCTGGGAGGAACTATCTAAATAACAATAATCCAAGCACCTTTCACGTCAGGAATCACTGTGTACTTTGTAAGCATAGGTCAGAAAAAACAAAGTGGAAATGTTACCAAAACATGACTAAAATCAGAAACCCACCATGAGAAAGTAGACAGGAAACATCAGCTTGCTACATGTATACATTTATGTATACTAATAGTGTACATTGGATTTATGTATAATTTACTGCAAACTTTTGTTTTAACCTGCAGTAATTACAAAGGAGAAGAATGACCTGTATAGCTAACTCCGCACTGCACCGATACCTGGTTTCCCAAGAGGAGCGAAAACATGCAATTGTAAATGATACATGATAACCAGTAGCAAGAAAGGGTAAAACATTGCAATCTGGCAATGCAGTGAAACAGAATGGTGGATGCTTCAATTCATGACAGGGTGATGTGGGGAGGGTTTGGTCAATAATCAGATGAGAGGTAATGCATGATCTTGTCTCAAGCACCTCCTAGTGACATGTTCAAAGGCCTGCAAGATGGGGGTCTAGGACGCAGAAAGCCTTCACACCTTTTGCCAATGCAGTTTGGATTTTTACAAAACAATGCGCGGCTTGTGTCTTCATAAAGGTTGAAGCTTCATCCCTCCCGGGGTGTGTAACAGCTGCCGAAAAAAGGAAGGCTGGAATTGAACAATTAGGATGGATAAATGTTTTGTAGCTTGTTCTATTACCTGTGGAGTTCAGAGAGTAAATACTTTCCCCAGTCCACGATAGTGTGGGCAAATAACATTTTATTATTCCATGCTTTCTCGTGAGATGTCAAAATGGCTTTTATCTGGATTTTCCAGAGATTCCACCAGATGGAGCCCTGACAACACAACTAGAACTCTGAATGCATATTTCAACAGGTTTCGAACAAATGTCTACTCACTCAATCCATTTCATTCAGTGTACAGTACATTTAGAAAACAATAAGAGGAACCCGTCAATTGGATTTAATTACTAAAGGGGACATTTACAATTTTGAATTTAAATCCCTTTGCGAGTTGAGCTGGTTTTGTTGGCAGTATTTTTTCACGATAACAGGAATCACATCTGTACATTTTACAAGTTTACAATCAGCAGCATCGTCACATCTACTGCCAAGAGATGGGATATTAAGATCAGAAGAATTTTCTGATGTAACAGAATTTTCTTTACGTAACAGTTCACAAGTTCATGAGATTTCTAAAGTCAGGGGATTCATATTGTTTGGACCACACAGTTAACCAGAGTCACGCAACAATGTTCCATCCCTGGAGAACCAAAAGGCTCACTGCTGCTGACTTTCGATAGGTATTGATGAGGATTGTACTAGCAAACCTTCAGAAGACGGACACAGATACTAAACATCTGGGAGCACTGCTCTGAATTCACTATCGAAATGACAATCCCCCAGTAATTAGAAATATCCTCTACATAAACTGGATTAAATAGTACCGCTTATTATGCTCTGTTCATATCATTGGCAAAATAGTTATGTTTGCGAATGAACATCTGAAATGCATCTTTTTTCAAAAGTTGGGCTCCCAGTTTAAAAATTTAGGTAGATTTAACACACATTGGTAAAAAACTGACAGTACTCATCAACCCCATTAATTCAATACCCTTTTAACCTCAAGTGTTCATAGTTAACTTCCTGTGCTGGTTGCTGTCAAATTAGTGTGACTGAGACTCTTTCACATAGACAATATTCACATGCACATCTTTTGTATAGACAGTTGCAGTTTTAGTTTCAGCCAAACAAAGATTTAACACAAAGTTACTTGCATGGCGAGTTCTTTTTTTCCTCTTTTGCTCAGCAGATTTACAACCAAACAGAGAATATGGAAGTAAAATGTACAAATGGAGAAATGTCTCTAAAATACACTTGCAATTTCGAGTACAAGTGACTTAGTTTTATGTAACCAATAATTTCAACAGATAAGTCTTGCTCCAACTATTTGTGTTGCTTTGAATAATTCAACATTATTAGAAACACAAAGAGAATTATCAATGTGAAACTTAAGTTTGTTAAATGTCTTGGGAAAAACATGGAAACTTTTTTTAAAAAATAAAGAAATACAACATATAATGTAATTAAAAAAACAAATAACTATCAAACTCAGGATCAGACCACCGTGCTAACTTGCCAGAACATGTTGCTTAATCCATATCAACTCTACAAGGAGCAGATGTAGGCCTATTCCATGTGTTTTAAATTTAAAATAAATATTTTCCAGACATCTGTCATTGGCTTTTTTCAATGATGATTTTCTTTCCCTAAGCAGAATGTTATAATTCCATTAAATATTCTAAGCAAAACAGAACACAATCCAAAGTACAATATCATTCTTAATGGTCAGATAAACTCAAAATTTGCATTGCAAGAATGCTTTAAGGAGTTAGATTATTACCTTATCTTTGTTTATATATTAACAATAGTGATGCAGATGTAGACAAATTCTCAAAACAAAGTTTAGGATTTGGTTCTTATCAATTGCTATATGCGTAGATATAAGTTATTGGCAATAGCTACTTCTTATCCTCAAAGACACACATCTATGAGCAGTTTTCAGAACCTGAAATAACTCAGGTAAATGCAACAGAATAAATAATCACAACAGTAAATTACCTTTCATTTCCCTCGCAGTGACAAAATATCCACAGACACAATTCCTGCAAACAAATTAACTTCTAATTTAGCTGATACTGCCAACATTACAAAAATGAGTCATCTTAAAAAAGTCTAAAGTGAATGAATGGATACAGATGGAATTTATTAACCTTAATCCAATTTATATCCAGGAATGTTGGTGCAAGAGGATTTGTCTTCTGCAGCTGTTTTTAACGAAAGAACTCTGAGATACCTCTGACATATCGGCGATATGTCAGAATGACTTTATTCTATCACACTGTTGTTCCACTCTTGACCTCATGTTATTTATTATGCTGGGAATTGTTATAAATTTCCTGTGTTTAGTTATGCATACGTATTGCTTCTGCTAAGGGCAAGATTGCTTGGCCCCAAAGACGCCAAGCTATCCATAAGACATTCCATTAAACATAAACATAAAACAGAGTGAATATTTCTAATTGGCGTATGAAAAGAAAATAGATTTTCATCTCACTCTAAGTTCTCTCTACTTGCTGTAAACATATTGCCTTGAACAGAGAAGCATAAAACTTTCCTTTTCAAGTTGGATGAAGTTCTGTGGCATATACTGATCCATAACTGGAATCTGGCCAGTGCGATAAACTGTGGGCTATGTTCCTACATTTTGGTTAACTCATAGCTCCACGGTGATTAAGAAATGTTTGTGATTTGATTTCCCATCTTTTTTTAATCCACATTCTTACTGGGTTTGTCAGCCTGGCTGAGTTAGTAGCACTCTCATTTTCAAGTCAAAAGATGATGGGTTCAAGCCTCACGTCGGGAGGTAATTCAGAAACAGATGCATTCCATTGATTCCAATTTTAGGAAACACGCTCTACAAGGGGAACCCTGTGACCCTCATTTCTGGACTATATCTGCGTCACTGACATTGACGAAGACTCCAAATCTGGGATTAATCCCTCCAAAACCAAAAACAATAATAAATTGGTCATTTTCAATCTACAACTGTTTGTGGGACATTGCTGTGTACAATTGGCTGCCGCGTTCGCCAACAAATATACGGTCAATTCACTTTACAGTGTGTTCTGTGAAGCACTTTGGGACATCCTCCCGACGTGAAAAGTGCTATATCAAATGCAAGGATTATTATTATTATTATTTAATTAAAAATATATGAAACCAAAAAATGAATGCATACAATTTACACAATGTTTAAAACATAGCTGCATTATCATTAAAGGTTCTCTTTAGTATAAACCCTTACTTGTCCAAGTGCATATTATGTACTAATGTTATATAAATGTTCCATAGATTTCAACTCAAATCCCAACACAATTACCAGTAATTCAGTGATAGTTTGCTCCTGCCAAGTATCTTTTGAAGTTAATACTGACCGACTTTCAGAATAAAGCACACGTCAGATCACTTTTACACTTACGACTTATCAAATCTCAAGTAAACTTGGGTCGATTAACTAACTAATACACCACTTAAAGAGGAATTTAGAAAGAAAGAGAAGCCCATTGTATTGAAAAGTTTGACTTGAGTGTTTCATTATCCCTAAACCAAAGTAAAATGAGGTCTCCTGAACTTCTTTAATCTTCTGCCTCAATCCAACTGAACGAATCCTCTCCCAAATCAAAGCTGACAGCTGAGGCCACGCACACCAGTCTCATTCTGGAAACTTCAGATGGAATCTTGTGGTTGAATAATAATAATTACTGTTGAGGACGACAGCAAAATCTGCAGATTCCTACAGACCACACCAGACAAGATGAATCAAAGGCCCCGATGACCCTCTCTTTTCACTTGTAAATTTTCTTTACACAGCTGAAAGTTCACATGCATTCTAAATCTGCAATTGATACTTGGACAGCTCACAAACAAGATCAGAATTATTCACTCCAATCCCAACCCTGCCTCTTGACTTTGGACTTCACCACAAAGCAACAGAATGGAATGAAACTAGTGTAAAGGCAAGTGAATCTGATCCAATTCCTACCGCATTTTCTAATGAAAAATTATCAAGTAATGAAACTCAGCACTCAAATCAAACTATTGCACAAATGATAAATGTTGGGAAATTGAATTAACAAGCGACACCAACACATCAAAAATGTCAAGATCAGAATAATGTTGAGAGTTCAAGCTTTTTGGTTGGCCAACAAAATAATCAAAGAGGTCGGCCACCACTTACGTAGACTTTTAAAAAGAAATTCCAAGGTTTTGTGGTGTATCTGCTTTCTTTAAGCATTCCTCCTTATATTAGCAAAACATGGTCAGGAATGAAAACGTTCCAACAGTGAAATTAAAGACGATATTGTGCAAGTTTGGTTCAGACAAAAGCAGTTGTTGAGACATGTCAATGGTACTACACCAGGTTCTCAACAAAAATAATCTTTTTGAGATAATACTGACAATTATCACATTTTGCATTAATAAAGCAGCAATCTAGGCACCGAAGACATGGACTGCAAAAAAAAAAGTTTGCAAAAAAGTTAGGTCGGAAAGGTTCTTTGAAGTTGAAATATTCCCCCCACTATAAACAAATATAAATTCCAATTAAACATTTGTCATGAAATTACATGTGTATTGCTTCAAATACTGAGGATGTCATGATTCTCACTCTTGCAGAGCGATTTACCTTGATCGGTTGTATATAATTGGTTCATGTTCTTCAGGCACAGTTCTGAGCATGCCGATATCTCGAAACAGTTTCTTCATGAATTCCAAGAAATTCTGTCCAGCGACTCTTTCCACCACCGCACTGAGAAGTGTCCAGCCATGCGTTGAGTACAGGAACTGAGTGCCTATAAAGCATAAATAAAAATCGCCCACAAAATATACAATCAATTCACGGTATATTCTCTGAAGCGCTTTGAGACGTCTCGAAGACGTGGTAAGGCGCTATATCAAATTCAAGGATTATATTATTATAAATAAAAATTTGTTTTTAGGCATTTCAGTAAAACGATTTGGATGGAAAAAATCATCACTAAGTTCCAGGGACACCACCCAAACTCACAATTCAAGCAGGTTCTGAGCTCAACAAGCATTAGGGTTTTGTTTTACCCGAATGAATGTATTTACATTATTTTCACACTTTCAGATCTATTCATTAGTCTAGTAAGAAAACGAAGGCACCTTTGTGTGTTTTACGACTACATTTTTCAATGACCCATTTTGAACAGATTCAATGACACCAGCGTCTGATATTAAATCAGAATATAGCTGGACAGCGATCAGCTAATGATGATTTCTTTATCAATTTGCACTGACATTATAATAGTTAAAGGTCAGAAGACAAGTGTAAATCAGAGCTTCAAAATTCATGCCATGATGCTACATGGGTTGGTATCCATCATTTCATCTAGAATACGATTCGGATCTCAGCCACATCTCCATAAGGTTGAGAAACATTTTCCCACAGGGTGAGAGTGAAAACAAACATCAGAGAAACAGTCATTCTGAGAAAATGTCTTGTCGTAAAACAAACTCACAAAATTGGATTTTATTTTTACCTGGGCTGAAAACCAAGGGATCATCTTGAAAGAGTTTCAGTGATTTTGTTACATTCTCAAATCTTTCCTTCATGTAGTACTCTTCGTGTTCAAACTCCTTTTTTTGAAGAGATTTTCCTTCATTTTCCTTAATTTCCGATTTTGTACCTCCTTCACTTTGACCTTTTTCTGTGCCCTCTGGTTTCTCCCTTGTACCTTCTACAGATTTCCTATCTTTACTATCTTGAATGGAAGATCCAACTTTAATGAGCTTGTTTCTTTTTTCCTTTTGTTCTTTGATTTTGTTAACATCCTTTTCGTAGTGACGTATACCACTTAGGTGAGATACTAACAGTCTTGTTGTTATCGTTACCTGTTGCAAGATGGGCATAAGGCATAGAAATAGGTTACATTTGGAACCTTTCCTTTTCATAGAAAATTAAATAGTAATTACAATAAACTGTGTGTGTGTCCTGGCAAATTATATGTGATAAATATCTCAGGTAGCTCCTATAAATCTACAGTAATGCTTCAGGCTTGCGTCAGGTCAATACCAAAATCAATGCAAAATCTGAAGTACAACTGGCTTACAGGATCTTCAAAGGCAAAATCCTTTAATTGGAAAAGATCTACAACATCTTACATGTAAATCTTAACTATAACCACATTTTCAAATTATTATTGCTTTTTTAAAAAAATGCGGACTAAAAACATGTAAGATTTCCTAACACTGTAAACAAAGCTTGGGGCTCCTACCTTATCTTGAAATTCCTTTCTCAATATTACTTTCTCATTTAATACAGCTGCTGTGAAATTATCATAAAGTCTGCATAACATTCAGTTAAACAGTCACAAACAATGACACAAGCTGTGTCAGTTTATGAATACTATAAATCTACATATTGTCAAACATAAAGCAATAAATGGCAGGTTTTAATAGCAATCTTGCATTGTAAAACGTTCTTACTTTCTCTCCTTCGTATTCCTTTTCTGGAAATTCTGGGACGTATTTTTGCACAGGAGCATCTAGATCCAGTTTTCCTTCTTCCCACAGCTTGGCAATGGCAGCCATAGAAAGAGACTTACTGATGCTGGCAATTCTCATGACTGTCTCTGGCTTACATAGGACACGGTTTTCCACATCTGCATATCCCAAACCTTAAAATAATAGTCAGAATAATAACTGTAGCTGTGAAAAGCTGGTTCTGAAACACTGCAAAACAAATACTTAAATCATACTAATCTTAAGCCAAACAAAGCACAATTATCTTGATTATCAAAGCAATACCACAATATTTCCATTGATTTAAACAGCAACATTCTTGGCTCAATAATGGAGTTCTTTGTCTCCGTTTTTTTTTAAAAATCAACTCTCGGGAAAAATCAAAGCAATTGCAGTCATTGTTAAAACTCCTACTCATTAGTTATGGTTTAGTATTATGTTTGATTACTAACTACTGTATTTACACGTTATATGAATTTATTCAGTCCAGAGAGAGGAAGAATTCCCCGCTAACTGCAAAAAATATAGCCTGGCATGCTACTTAAGTTTTTTTTCTATATCTGTGTTATTTGTATTCATATTTTCTTGTGAAGTTGGTTAAAGTTTCAGGTATTTCATATGCTTAAAAATAAAACCAAAGAGCCCATATAAATTTAGTACTTGAAATACATTCTAGTAAATACAGCACTTTTATCTTTTTTCATACATTTATCTTGTAGACATTTATCGACTATGCAAACACCCTGCTTCTCGGCCTTCCCAACTCCTCCCTCCACAGGTTGCAGATAATCCAGAACTCTGCAGCCTGTCCTCTCCCGCACTAAACTCCGTGACCCCATCTCCCCCACTCTCGCCGGACTCCACTGGCTCCCTGTCCTTCAGAGGATCCAGTTCAAGATCCTGGTCCTCACATACAAAGCCCTCCATGGCCTCACCCCACCCTACCTCTGCGACCTCCTAAACCCCTACCAACCCGCACGTTCCCTCCTCTCAGCCGGCTCTGGCCTGCTCCACGTCCCCCGACCCACCCGCCCTACCATTGGAGGGAGAGCCTTCAGCCACTCTGCCCCCAACCTCTGGAATTCCATCCCCCAGTCACTCCGCCTCGCCCCCTCCTTAGCCTCCTTCAAGTCCCACCTCAGGACCCTCCTCTTCGACCATGCCATCGGCCACCCCCCTTCCGCTCCCTTCACTTACCCCCCCAACCCCAGCTCGGGTCTGAAATGCTGTACTCTGTCCAGCGCCTTGGGACGTCCTCCCGACGTGAAAGGCGCTATGCAAATGTAATCTTGTTGTTGTAGTAAATAGATTTCTCTTGGCTTTTTTTAATATATTATCACTCTTGGTTTCCAAACTATTAATGTATTATCACACTCAATTTTCCACCAGTGTTTCTCCTTGCCTTTCTCCTCTCCTACAGCTACTTCAATGGTTTTTCCTTCTACTGTCAGCATGTTTTCAATAGGCGCTGCTCAGATTCCAGTACCTTGTACAAGTGGCCATTCTTCTTGTGTGAATTCTTTCCTTGACATTATTTGCATTTTGTTTTAAAAATATGTGGTGCAGTGAGCACTGAATAAAGCAAAGGCAGCATGGTGTAGGTAAAAGAGTGATATGTAATGATGAATAACTGATGGTAAATGACATCTACTCAATGATCTCAGCACCTAGACCATGATATAAATACAAATGTTGTCAGCTTTTTCAGAAGATTGTAAAGAAATGTCAAGGTAAATTCATGCAGATAAAATAGCATTGTACTTTATTTATAATAAGGTATCTATGTGCAGCTTTTGTTAGTTTGGACAGGAATGGCAACAAACTGAAACATCTACACTATCCTTGCAACTTAAACAAAAATATTTATTTCCTCTAATGGATCACTTTTAGAAGATCCACTCCTTTATTAAAAAATGTTGCTTTCTGTCACTGTTCATATAACTTTCAAACAGTAAGCCACCAGGCAATACAAACCTTCAGCCCAAACTTCCTTTCCATCGACTGAAACCCCAACAATTATCCCAGGGGCAGCCATTTCATCCTACACAAGGGGAAAAAATAACTATTATTGGGATAAAATGAATGTCTCTGTTCAAGTGATTTTAAATAACTATAAATCTATCCTGCATAGTAGTTAATTATACCATAAGCTATTAGAAAAGATAAATGTTAATTTCATAAATACAATTAAACTCATCTGAAAAGGTCACTTCACTCTCATCAGCAATAATTTAATGATTTGAATGCAGAACAGGATTAGATCACAAGTCCAAAATACTATAAAATAGAATCCATCCAGTTTCCTTTTCCCCTGGTCTTTCGCTGTACTATTTTGTATATATTTCAGCATTTATCCAAATCCCATTTAAATATTATCATTCAGTTTCAACAGCCATTTATAGTATGACATTCTACATAGTTATTAACTGTAAGAAAATTTCTTCTGACACTCGCAGCTTTTATCTTGCCAATATGTGCCTCTATGCCATCTTACTCATTCATAATTTAAAAACGTGTATTATATTCCCTCCTCCCTTCTTTTTCCAGCAAACCTTCCCAACTTTTCAAATCACTTCACCTAACTATAGTCTCTTTTTACTTGCATCCTGCTTGTCAAGTTTCCATTTTGCCTCTCCAAGCCTGTGATGTCCGTTCTGAGACGGCAAAAACTGGATCCAACACTTCAACTCCAACCTAATAAAGCCCTTTTGATGAATAAACTTTTTTTTAAATAAACAAAATTACTAAGTGCTCTTTCCAAAAAGCTGGACTCTAGATGGCTTGTAGAACATTGCAGTTTAATGCTGGATTCAGTTTATATCCCTTATTTTTATTTTTAAAACTGCCGATGGAATTTCTCAAAGCCATTTGCAGGATTCACTGTACAGTAATGGCTATGTACTTGCAGGCGAGTGTGGCAGGCAACTTGGCCATAGCAATGTCTCACAGACATTTACTAAAAAATACAGCCTGGCATACTACTTTCTTTTTCATTTCTGTTATTTGTATTCATAGCTAAGTTACTTTTATCTGAAGAACTGTGAACCAGGTGACCAGTAGTAAATTCTCTTTTCAAATAGTGTCATGGGATCTTTAACATCCGCGTGAACAGGTAGATGAGACCTTGATTCAAAGTCTCATCCAAGGGACAATGCAGCAGTGTGGGGCCTGAACCCACAACCTTGTTTCAGAGGCAAGAGTGCTATCAATTGAACCAGGCTGACAGCTTGAGTAATCAAAAATACTTTTTTAGCTTATAAATGGAAAGCAGTTCTCAGTTCAACTAGGAGCCAAACTAATGGACTCATAATAGCTTCATTTAGACTTGATTATATGTAAATTACTCATTCAATTCAAATGGTTATCTTCGGTGTGGTTATTTTGGTTGAGGGTTGAGACCAAAATAGCATTTTAAAGGAAACTAGATAAACAAAGAAGAATTACAAAAGGGTATGTATGAGACGGGGGCAACTAATTGAGATTAGAGTTGCTAGCTCCAGCATAGGTGTGTGTATAACCTCAAGTATGAAAGGTGAAAACACCTAATTTGATATTTTTGTTCCTGAAATGAGGTGCTGCCAGGCAATAAACCAGTTTTACCAATACACCCAAAAAGAATGAGGAGAAAAAAAATCATATACAGTGAACTGTAAAGTTTATTTTAAGTGACAGCAATGCTAAATTCAATTTATAATAATTCTTGGATGTGATATAGTGCTTTGTCATGTTGGAGATGTCTCAAAGCACTTCAAAGGATTTACTGTGAAATAGAGTGACTGTATTTGTGGTCAACGTTCCCTAAGATTAGAAAGAATTCCTATTACTGATTTCATAAAACTAACTTATTTGGGGCATAAGCTCCCATGGGCTCAGGGAATATGAGCAGAATTTTTTTAAAAAACAACTCCAGGTGATAACAGTTCTTGAACATATAGCAATTTTTTTTAATAAAAGATATAAAAGCCTGAAAATATTTTCAGATTTGTTTTAATCAGAAAAAATAGAAAGCATAGTTAATGTTTGTTACGTACATTTAATAATAGTTAAGTTATTAAAGTTAACACTAGTTTGAATGAAAAGGATACATGGAAACCTAAAATAGTAATATTGCTCATTTGTCTTAACTGCAAACCACATTATGGACCTCTGATTTTCAAAAAAAGTGTGATCAAGTTAAATATTCAAGGAAAATGAAAGAGTCACTGACACCAACCAATTTGATGCAGTTATAGTCACAAAAGCTACTTTTATCTCATTAATACCAGTACTGCACCAACCATATATGTGACCAAAGTATATGGCTTTTACAACACCCAAAACGATTAATTCTATTCATCTGTAGCATGACTACAGTTGGGCTGTTTTGAACAAACACATTTTGGGTTTTAGCCGATGCTCCACATTACAAAACGGCACACAAGGAATTGCTGGAAATGAGGAAAACACCTCTCTGAATGTATATCTAATGAGCACAAATAATTGAAACAAACATCGAAGACTAAAACCAATTTCCTGTAGCTGATAACAGATTCAGCAGTTATCAATATATTAATCAAACTCAAGTTTTGTTTGTTACGCTTTACAATGGTCAGAAAATAATATGAAAAAGCAAGTTCCATGTGTTCTAACAGTGAGTATGCTAAATGCGCTAAGCCCACATCTTGTTGATATCTTCTGCAGGTTTTGGAGCTGCGGTTATGCAAGGTGGCGAGGAATAGTCCCTCGACTTCTTTTCCACTTGATTCAAGAGACTCTTGTAACCAGAAAGCTCGTGCTCAAGCCCATTCTTAACGTTGAGCAGAGTCTGATACTCGGTGGCGTGAACCTCAACATTCTTCTCCAGCGTTTTATTGTATTCCTTGATCCTATTGATCTCTCGCTCCTTCTCTTGCAGTTGGCTCTTGTGCAATTCATCCCGGATTCTCAAATCGGTCAGGGCAATGCGGTACGCCTCGGTCTCCTTCTTGATCCTCTGCAGCGGGTTGCTACTCTCCTCAAACTTCTGCTTGTATCGCTCCAGTTCTTCCTTGTTCCTCTTGGCCAACTGCTCGTATTCGCTGCGCATGTTCCTCAGCGCCTGCTCCAGGTCCAGCGTGTTGGTGTCCACCTGATCCAGGTTCTGCAGGTTGTCGATCTTCTGCTGCCAGTAGATGCGCTCCTGATCCCGGACGATCTTCAGCTGCGCCAACTGGGCTTCCAGGAGCTTGCACTGGCACTGGAGCCTCTCCAGGAGAACCAGGGCGTCGTCGTACTTCTTCTTGAGGTCCTGGAAGTCCTTCTCGTACTCCCTCTTTTGCTGGATCTCTTTATCCAGCCGGGCTTTGATCTTGTCCAAGTCCAGCCTGAACAGCACCAGCTCGTTCTGGAGCTCGTCCATCCTGCACTGGAAGTCCTGGTTGTCCTTCTGGAAGACCTTCTCCACGGCGCCGAACTCCTCGCGCTCCACCCGCTTCAGCTCGCCCAGCAGCTCCTTGTTCTTGCGCTGGAGGCTCATCACCGTGTTGTTGATGTACTTGGCGAAGCGGTCGTTCAGGTCCTTGATCTGCTCCTTGCCCTCCTGGATGCCCTCGTGGAAGTCGCGCTCGACGTTTTCGCCCGTCATGTCGGCGCCGCCGCCGCACCGGTCCTGGCCGCTGGTCCCCGAGCCCGGCGACGAAGTCCTGGAAAACATCGCTGCGGACACGCCGGCTTCGTGAAGCGTGAGGGGGGGGGGGGGGGAGGTGGGGGGACTGCCTCGGTCAGAGAGGGTCCGCCGGTCCGGTTGGCTTGGGCTTTCTCTTGAGCGGAGTGTACGTGTGTGGTGTGTGTGTGTGTGGTGGGGGGAGGGGGGGGGGGGAGGGGGGGGGGGGGGGGGGGAGGGTTTGGGTGAAAGAGTTGGGAGGTAAATGGAACCGTTGGTCCCGGAGCCGTTATCGAACGCGGCCGCGAGGCGGATTCAAACCGACGTTTGAGTGTCAACAAGGGCGGGAGTCAGGCGCGTGACGTCACAGAGACCGCCGCTCCCGCTGTCACCGCTTTGGCTCCATCCGCCCAACTGCACACTGTGCGGCTTCAATAGGACAACGTGGGGGAGGGGGGTTGAGGGGTTGGGGTGGGGGGGTTGAGGGGGTTGAGGGTGGGGGGGGAAGTTGATGGGGGATATTCCGGGTGATAACAACAACAACAACAACAAGGATTGGTTTGCAATAAAGGTAAGTTGCCGCTGTTCGAAACCAACACATCTCCCAACTGGCGGAACCACCCAACCCGCCCACCCACCCACCGCAACGTGGGGCTGGCGGGCAGCCGGCCAGAGGCAGCGCCGCCGCCTCAACCCTTCGGCTTAACGACGACCACGGCGACTCGCGATGTGCACGGGCAGCGGACGGCCCCGCAGCGTCAAGGCGAAACGTCGGCATCCCTCCGGGGGAGAAGGCGCGCATACTCCGTCACCGGAATCCGGCACACGGAAATCTCTGTACACGAGGACGTTCCCTGCATTCCATATCGCGTCTTATCACATCGCTGAGGTGGCTCAAAGCACCAAATTAGTGCACTGTACATAGTGTAAATAGTGTACTTTACTGTACTGTAACGCGGAGTGACTGTATTTCACCTATGGACGGACAGACAGTTGTGAAAATTAACTACTTTGCTACAATAATACAATAAACCGGCTGCCACATACATTTCACCCACAAATACACAGTCAATTCACTTTACAATATATTCTGTGCAGTGCTTGAAGACGTGTTAAGGCACGGTATCTTGCAGGAGTCCTTAGCTCAGTGGTTAGACCACTCGCCTTGCAAGCGAGTGACCCCGGGTTCGATTCCCCCGTCAGGGTGAAACCTTTGCCCGATAATAATCCCTCAAAAAAAAACAATAATAATTTGGTCACTTCAACGCACGACTGTTTGTGGGACGCCGCTGTGCGCAATTGGCTTCCTCGTTTCGCCCCCCCCCCCCCCAAAAAAAATACGGTCAATTCACTTTACAGTATATTCTGTGAAGCGCTTTGAGACGTCTTTTGAGACGTTTCCGCGCCTCGGGACGTCCTCCCGACGTGAAAGGGCGCTACACAAATGTCATCTTGTGGCTGTTGTTGTCTGGAAGAAAGTGCTTTTATCAAATGCAAGGACTATTATTATTATTATTATTAATTATTATTATATCAGTGAAGCTCTTTCGAGGCATCTTGATGAGGCACTCCAGCGAGCATTATTATATCAGCAGTATCGTACATTATCACAGCATTGGTGCGGGGTGTTGCGGGGATATTGTCCTGTAGCGTAAAATGCAACTGTGCTGCATTTAATGCTGCGGGAAAAAGCAGGTCCTTTGGCATTAATGATGGGCCACCGGAGATCAGCAAACCCTCAGCAGTTTTCCTTTCAGGGGTTCGCTTACTCGCTCACCTTTATCCGCCGGAGCAAATCCCGACTGTTCTTTATGGCCGATGAAAATGCCACAGCTGCAGGTTGCGGCACTGGTATGTGTTGTTGTCGTTGTTGTTGTTGTTGTTGTCGTTCCTCCTCCTCCTCCTCGTCCCCGGTCTCCTCCCGGCACTCGGAGCGCAGGCACGAGGAGAAGTGCTGGCGAAGGCCGAGGGCTAAGCCTAAAGCCATTCCCACTCCGACCCCGAGCCCCCCCGGCCCCAGCTCCCCCCAGCTCCCGGGCCGCGCAGCCGGGGGGGGCCGGAGGGCGAAGGAGCGGCGGCTTCCCAACCCGAGGCCTCCGGAGGGCGGCCTCCCGACGCTCCGCCACACCCGGGGCAGACTCGCAGGCGGCGGCGGCGGCGGCGATCGGGCAATCAGGGGTTCCAGCAACCGGCACAGGGAGCCGGCCATGGCGATTGGGAGAGGGTGGGTGGGGGAGGAGGGGAGTAGGGGAGGGTGGGGGTGAGGTGAGGGGGGGCGTGAGGAGAGGAAGAGCGGGAGGGCCTTCCAACAGAGCAGCGATGAGCACCGCAGCCCCGGACAACCCAACAGCGATTGCTCTCTCAAGTGCAAGTTCAGTGTCAGGCCAACACTTGTCCCCACACCCCCCCCCCCACTCACCCCCCCCCTCCCCCCTCTCCCCCACTCACCCCCCCACCTCCCCCCCCCACTCACCCCCCACTGCCCCCCTCCCCCCCACTCACCCCCCACCTGCCCCTCCCCCACTCACCCCCCACCTGCCCTCTCCCCCACTCACCCCCCCCCCCCCCCCCCCCCCCCCCTGCCCCTCTCCCCACTCACCCCCCACCTGCCCCCTCCCCCACTCACCCCCCACCTGCCCCTCTCCCCCACTCACCCCCCCCTCTCCCCACTCACCCCCCCACCTGCCCCTCTCCCCCACTCACCCCCCCACCTGCCCCTCTCCCCCACTCACCCCCCACCTGCCCCTCTCCCCCACTCACCCCCCCACCTGCCCCTCTCCCCCACTCACCCCCCCCCTCTCCCCCACTCACCCCCCACCTGCCCCTCTCCCCCACTCACCCCCCCACCTGCCCCTCTCCCCCACTCACCCCCCCACCTGCCCCTCCCCCACTCACCCCCCCACCTGCCCCTCTCCCCCACTCACCCCCCCACCTGCCCCTCTCCCCCACTCACCCCCCCACCTGCCCCTCTCCCCCACTCACCCCCCACCTGCCCCTCTCCCCCACTCACCCCCCCACCTGCCCCTCTCCCCCACTCACCTGCCCCTCCCCCACTCACCCCCCACCTGCCCCTCTCCCCCACTCACCCCCCACCTGCCCCTCCCCCACTCACCCCCCACCTGCCCCTGTTCCCCCCCCACCTGCCCCTCTCCCCCCCCCACCTGCCCCTCTCCCCCCCACCCAGGATTACACCATTCTCCCAGCAGTTTTAAGATAATTGGGCAAATTGCTGTTTCGGTCTCCGCGTGCGTGTGTTGTTGTTGCTGTTTTTTTTCCTCTTGCAGATTTTTTTTAAAATTCTGCCTTCGTTTCTGAAGCTGCTCCGAATCGCAGTGCTTCCTCGCCCGCCGCACGACACCATCAATCCGCTTCACAGTCTGTTCCCCCCCACCCCCCACCCCCGAAGCGCTTTGATACGTCACGACCGCTGGATAAGGCGCTGTATCAAACCCAAGGATTATTGATGATGACTGCTTGTGGGACTGCCGCGTTTCGCCCACAAAGTGTACGGTCACTACGCTTCACGGTATATTCTGTGATGCGCTTTGAGACGTCTCAGCGACATGATAGGGCGCCATATGAAATGCAAGGATTATTATTATTCACTTGCATTCTAAATAGGCATGGGACTGATTTAACCAATTTCAGTTCAACATTGAAGGTGAAAGCTAATGGTTGATCAGTTAGTGATATTAGATAAAGAATGTTAATCATTTACATGATTTTTATTTTTTATTACATTACATTCATGTGCTTTATTCAATGAGCTAATGGTGCCAAATTGCCACTTTATTGTAGTACAGGAAGTTTAAATATATAATATGAGTAGTAAATTATCTACAAAATAAACTACAGCGTTTTAATGATCATGATAACATTTGGTGTAGCACCTTATCATGTTGAGATGCCTCAAAATGCTTCACAGTATTTACTATCAATATTGACTATATTTCTAGGCAAACGTGGCAGCTGATTTGCTCATGGTAATGTTCCACAAACGTCCAGGAAATGAAATGACCAATTTTATTCGGAGGATTGTCAGTCAGGTCTCCCTTTTCTTAATCATAATTCTAAACAACTCCTTCACTCTTCGATCACTTGGAACAAAGAGTATCAAGTCATGCTTGTTCCACCGTAAAAGTGGCCAGAAGCACATTATGTACATAGAGCACTGCACTAAGGCAATTTAAGTAGCTTCACAGGGTTCAGAGGTCTTCTGTGAGCATGTGATTGGCATATTAATTGGCAGACTAATCCTATTACCATCTCATGTCCATGCATGCACACTTTAAAGCAATATCAATGGACAGTGATCAGGAAAAATATCAGTATAAGCAATGAAGTTGACTGTAGTTTAAGTTCTTTATTGAGAAAATATAGCCAATAACATTGCTATTGCGTGATAAACCGTATTTATTTAGTGTTGACTACAGTGGTTTCTTAACTGACCGATGTACCCTTTGCATCTTTTTGTTCATAGGATAGTGGCCCTACCCTGCATGGGATTAGGATAAAGAAAACTGAGTACTGTAACCAAGTGTTGAAATACCACAGAGAATAATTAGCACATGTGTGGGTGTTTTTTTTCCTTCTCCATAGCCTCAATGAGGCTCCAATATATCAACATCAACATGAGAGCTTGATACGGATTCCCAAACTATGTTTACAATTATCAGTATTGTTTAGAATCACTGAAACTTACTAATCAAAATAAAATTCCTCTTAATACATGCTTTGGCTGTACCACTTGGGCTTTTTATCAGCTTCAAAATCAACAACCTGACATTCTAGCTGGTCTTTTTATCCATTCTGAGACTGCAATTCCTGTGTATATGTGGTGATTGATTGAACTGGAATCTCAATTTTTTTGCAGAAAATAAATGAATTGTGTCGGTATAGGACTATCAAAGTTTCAGAGGAGAGAAGTATAACTGGGACACATTCTTGAGCTATACTTTACCTGTTATGATTGTAGAATTAACCTACTATAAACATAAATACAGATCAGAGTTCCCAATCGCAGGGTTGCAGAATTCCACACAAAATTAGAAACATTTGTTTACAAAATCTCATAAATGTGTTTTTATTACCTTGGCACAAAGTTTACAGGCAGGCATACATTAAAACCTTTCACAATTGAAGCGTGCAAAAGTAGGCGAGGCATTACCAGAATGTTTCATTGTTACCATTTACAACAAAATATTGGTCTAAACAGTCTTCCAAAGTTTAGTCATCAACACATTTGTACGATCTCCAGCAAAGCATTTAATGGAATGGGAATTAATCTGAGTTGTGTCGTTTAGGCTTCACATCAACAAACTCACTGATAAGATTAATTCCCACTGGTGTATCCCATCGTAGTTAATGTCCACAAATTGGCAAAAAAANTCTAGAGAACCCCTCGATTAACAATGGAATCCAGAATCTGAAGTTTTATCAGACACATTCTATGTGGTGCCTTCATCATTCTATGCTGTGAATTTTTTTCGTGCAACATTATCATTGTATATCTGCATAATTTTTAAAATTTGATGCTTTATATACGTCAGTTTAACAGTGATGTACTTTGTCGAAAACAGCTGTGGATTATTGTATTTGATGGCAAGTTACAGTACTTTCAAATTACGTTAAAATACCCATTACATTTCAAACCATTGCAAGGGAATGTTGAATTAAAATGCAGCACTTTTTAAATTAGTCAAAATTTTAAACCAATTATTTAATCACAAAGGTACAACAAAAATGTGCATATTCATTACAAAAAAATGTACAAAATGGAGGCAACATAGTCAGCTGCAGTTTCTAAGTGTTTATATTAATAATTATGTTTTTACCCCTGTTTAGACACCAAATGTTTAAAAACAGTGTTTTACATGTGAGGGGCTGAAATAGTGCCCCACCCTCCTTTATCCAGTTGCCAGTGCTTTGCCCACAGAAAAATGGGCAAGTGACTTAAAATGCAGGAACATAGTGGGTCATTTCTGGCAAATATCAAAAAATTAAAATAGGGGAAAAAAACTTAACAGATAAAAAGTAAACGGTGCTAAATTATCAAAAAATGGTCTGTACCCACTGGCACTTTAGAAAATATTTGGAATTTTTAAAAAATGTAGCAATTGTGGAATTTGGAAGTAATGTATTCAACCTACATTTGGGATACCATCATATCATCATCATATGGCTTACCACTTATTACCAAATTGTCCCAACCACTGGCTGCCTGCTTCTTTGTTAGATGTCCGTGTAAAACCAAAGGTGCAATTGTTTTCTAACAAGGTGGGTTATAGCAAGCTGAGGCAACCAGTTTGCGACAATCAAGGCAGTTCACAAATTATTAAGTTCCTGTAGTGTTTGATCGAGCATCTGATGCATGCCTAGGTTCTCTTCTTTGGCTTGCGCCAATTTCTCTGTTAGGAAATTAAAATATACATTATAAATAATGTGGGTTGTTCACTCAGGATGCTATATTCTCTTCAGATTCAAGTCACACAAACTATATATCACACACAATATGCACAAAAGGTAGCAAGATTAACTCACTGCTAGTGTGCACCTTTTTAATACAATTTAAAAGTTCTCTTTTGAAAATGGACAAAAGTATGACCTAACACTCTTAACAATTGAATAGATTTTATTATTCTGTTAGGAATAAAGATGACTTAGAAAAGTAGATGAAAATAATGCTAAGATTTAAGAACATTATACTTTATCAGAAAGGCAGACTGAACACTAAATTCGTTGACTCATATATTTGCACACCCAAATGCAGACTTCATAACTTTCGATTGCAAGCATATTAATAAACTACACAGGTAATTTGTCTACGATACACAAGATACTTGCATTTGCATATTCATTACTAAGCAGGAGTTCTCCAAAATACTTTTGTTATTTGGGTTCTAAAGTTAGATTTTTGGATTAATGACAAGTTAGGTTTTCTAAATTCCATTCAATTAGTGGAAGAAAGAAAGTTTGTAAATGAAATCCATTCGACAGTTAAGTTTTTGTAATAGTGCAGGATGAAGACTAATCGCAAGAGAACTGGCAATACAGAAGAAATTATGAAATGTTAAAAGTTAGAAACCAGCCTAGGTACACTCTTCAGTCACTCAGATCATTCAAGGCCAGCTTAAGCTCATTAGCAAGGAGACGATTTTGCTCAAGTTGGCTGTAGTGACGTTCTGTAGCATCAGCAATCAGGTTAAAGGGAAACAAAAGCAGAATAGTACAGATTAGGCAAGAAAATAGAAAAATCTAATGCAAGTAGCTATATTAGTACACACTTCAATACCCAGGCACAGGGTTGAAATACTGTACCTTTTGCTGTTTTCCCCCTATTTGTCCTATCCATACAACATATTTGTGCTCATCCAGAAACTCAAGGCAGCTACTCTGAGCTTTGTAGCAAAGTGAATTCAACCAAGACTTCATTGCAAGACAATGATTTTTCAACAAGGAACAATTGAAATGCTTTACTGCCCACCCCCCCCCCCCCCCGCCACCTCCACCCCCCCCCCCCAACACACACACACACATTTTTAACTATTTAGCTCAGTGAATAAAGCACATAAATGCAGTGAGATAAAAAAATAGAAATAATGTAAATGATTAACATTATTTAAAATTGCTAATTGATCAACCATTAGCTTTCGCCTTCAATGTTGAACTGAAATTGGTTAAATCAGTCCCATACCTATTTAGAATGCAAATGAATAATAATAATAATCCTTGCATTTGATATATATTGCCTTATCACATCTTTGAGACGTCTCAAAGTGCTTCTCACAATATACTGTGAATTGATTGTATATTTTATGTACGAATAATCCCAAAAGGGAGGAATGAAGCACCAAATATCTGATGCAAACCTCAAATAATAATTCTAAATAATAATTTTATACAATGTCTGAAAGCGCTTCACAAGATACAGTATAATGTAAAGCGTAGCGACTGTATTTTATAAACAAACATGGCAACCAATTCTTACATAGCAAAGTCCCACAAACAATTATGAAATGAATGACTAGTTTTATTTGGGGGGGCGGGGGGGGGGGGGAGGGATCGTCGGCCATGACCCTGTGAGAAACTCCTCTTTTCAAATAGTGCTGTGGGATCTTCAACTTGCACCTGAACAGTCAGATGGCACCATGGTTTCACATTTCATCCAAAGGACATCACCTCCTATAATGCAACACATTCACACATTCCGAGCCCTACATTGGGATGTCAGCCTAAAGTAGGTTTTGTGGGTTCAAAGTCCTGACATCGGGCTTGAACCCGCAAATCTCTGACTGGGAGGCGAAAGTGCGACCAACAATAAAAGAGATTATAAACAGAATACAATTGCGGTAGCTGAGTCAATAGGTATGAAGGTGAAAATATGAAATGTGGATCTTCAAAAATAAAAAAGGAAAACAGTTGGACTATAATGTGGCTGTGGCATTAATCTTGCAATTCCCTTATACACTGTTTCACTTCAATGCAACAGAACAGAGATTCACAGGATCTGACAAATACTTAGGAACTGAGTGCAAGTCATTATTTCCTTCAAAGCTGTTTCAACCATCTTGAGAAATTAAGTTTTAATGTAATGCGTGAATGGTTTATGTTTTGGTGCTTAAATGACCAATTTTATTGGGAGGACTGTTGGCTTGCACAACAGGAGAAACTTACTTCTCTTTTTCAAATCCCAAGTTTAATATATTCTTAACAAGTGGGTACCCAATAGCTTGGCATATTGAATTTCAAATACAGAAGAAATTCTGTGACAGATGTTACAGTGGGCACATGAATACTAAGTAAAAAATACTTGAGAATGCATTCTCTGGGTTATTCCGGGGGGAGGGGTTACATTCATAAACGATTCAAGGGCTAAAACCATTTACGTCAACTGAATAAGAGCTTACTCTTCACTTGTGCCCAGTTTAAAAAAACCTTGCCAAACCAACAAGTATTTAATTTATTTCTCCTTCTCCATTCTGTTTTTTTATCTGTACACAATTTTTTGCGGTGTGGTTTGGCTCTTCCTACTCGAGTGACGAACTGCTGGTTTGTAACCAAAATGTAATTGTTTCATGGTATGTGGGGGATGGTGGTGGGGGGAGGTGGGGGGGGGGGAAGAGAGGGGAATCGTGAGAAGAAAAGAAACAAAGCAGTCAATGATACAGTACATTGTAGCCCCAACATTCTGCACCATGGAGTGGCAGGTGAGAGAACATTGCTCTCCACCTCAGATGTGCTGTGGGGATAGGGACGAGCTCCGATACTTCGCCCACAGTCAGGAAACAGCCTTTAAAGGATATAAAACACTTCTCAATTGCAGGCATTTTGAGTAATTCCATGTAAATGTTGTGAAGTGCACTTATTCAAGATGACAACAATGCTGCCTGCACGTGTTTTGCCTCGGTTTCCATAAAAGGTTACTGGTGATATTTGGATATGCAGAGGCAGTAGAAAAGCAGCAGCCAGAAAAACATTTGTTTCCAGTATAAAGCATATCCTCCCTTTTTATTTCTGAAGTTTGCCAATCAATAATAAATTAAATTAAAGAAATTGCAAAGAGATACAGTTTATAAAGATGAGGGTATTTATTTTACATTTAGGCCACGGATAAAGATAGATACTGTACAATACGAGAAATGAGTGAAGTTTTGGAAGCCATCTACTAGACAGGTAGAACAAGGGGTATTGCACATTAAAAACTTGAGCGATGGAGATTTCAGAAAGAACAAAAGCCAGCCGATTGAAGAAGTCTTTGCCATTGCAGTGAAGCAGTTTATCTACACAAGAAAAGGGTATAGGAAAGAAAATGAATGACAAAGCATAAATAAATGAAAGCAGAATAAGCAAAATGTAAATAAAATAAAATGAAAAAAAAATCTACTGCAATTCTGTTGGCTTTCTATACCTAGTGCGAGGTCACGCCAATTTGAAATCTTACAGGTATATGGAAAAGGAAACCCCCCCCCCCTCCCGGCTTATTACAAACATTTTTTGTACCTGTATTTGCAGTAATGATGCATTATTGTTATTTATTTTTATATTGCTTTACAAGAGTGTGAAATAACTCAAATAATAATAATATAATAATAATATATCAAGTGAGTTCATTTAGGAACCACTATCCTGTCATTTTGGGGTTATCTTATCTAACCAAACTTTTCCACACCCCAATTTTTCAACTTGGCATGATCTCTGAAAAATAAAATCTTGGTAAGTTTAAAGCTACTATATAATAATGGGTCATTCCACAATTAAATCAAGGGAACCTAAGTCTCCACATTTCTATTTCCCATTAGTTGCATCCTTTTACAGCCACAGACTTGCTAATGTCGGAAAATATAGGAAAAAAGAGAGGGTGAATCGCCTATAGGTTGATCGGATGAGTACTTCTTGAGGAACACAACAAATTCAACATCGATTTAAACGGTAGAGATTCTGAAAACTTAGAAAAGTGCTGAAAAAGCTCACTGGTACCTATTCAGAATGGGTAGGTAATACCAACTTATCAAATGCTGATCCTAGCCTTCCAAATCATGAAGCATTTGAGTTGCTACATCATTATTTAAGGATCATCACTGATCCATCTACAGAAATGAAACATGCATCTTTCCAATTGCAATTGTTAATTTATGTAGATCAATGTATGTTTATGTATGTTTACTTATGTAGACCAGAAGGAATAAAAACACTGAAACAGATATATTCAATATAGCATGGAGGTGAACTGTGGGAACTCATTTTCTAACCAACCAAAACATCCAATTAAAACTTTTAAACATTAGGCATAATGTGACACAACTACAGTTGCCGATGCAAGTTCCAATTCAAGTCCAAGTATTCTAAAGTGACCTGAATGATATGTATTTATCTCCTCTTCCTAGGTAATCAATTGCAAAAGAGAAATTTAAGGATCAATTCAAAAAATTACAGACTGCTCCTCAAAATCAGCCACAATAAATCTCCAAATCAGTCAGACAGCACTTACTGTATTACCACGATTTCATTTGGAATGACCAATATATATATATACTCACACACAGGCATGTTCTGTATATATTATATACAAATTATATAATATACACACTATATATATATATACACACACAATATATACTAATTAAATATTAAGTTGCCTTCTACAAAACACAAAGCCCAATTGTTTAGTAAGCAAGCAAGCAAGCAAACCAACACAAACTACATCTTGCCTGGACTTCATTTTTCCACTTCCATAGAAAAAACATGAAGTCTCAGTTCAATATTGTTATTGTGAGAAAGATGTGTTTACATCCTGCAAGGAAACATTAAATACAAGAAATTGTGAACATTTCTAAGTCGAGTGAAACTAACCAAGTGTATTATGGTTGATTAGAAAAAAACAGGAAATTTTTTTTGCGGGGATGTTGATGTTATGAGTTGTGATCAGACAGACACACACAGACGCACAAAAAGTGACCCTAACCAAGGTCTCAGGGTTACAAAAGATGTTCAGATTCAACATCTTTTTAATTATGTACAGTGTACTCATTTGCTTTTGATAAGGCCACATAACTTTAACAAAGCAAATGAACTTCAACTTTGAACACTTTGACTGAATTAATTAATGAATTAATTCTAATGTGTACACACAGGAGTGGACTGATCATGGAAGGCGTCCACATCCAACATTTGGTTAACTCTGCACACTACATTCATTTGCTCTGGACAACATGCAATTGTTGCAAAGCAAATGAACCTCAGAATCAAACATAGTGTTAGAAAAAGTTGAAGGTTTAATTATATTGCACTTATGTTTATTACATTAGAAATTAAAGTCTTCATTTAAACAAGCATTCTTATGTAATAGATCAAAGGTAGAAATTGTACTGCACTTAATCAAAAGTGCAAACAAGTGTACATTTTATAGCTATTACTATCCGAAAGAATGCCATGTAAAATGATAGTCCTTTAAGGAGTACATAAACATAGTGCACCGCAGGATAATAGGTACAACAATTAATAGCAACTGATAGAATAAAGTGATGTTAATTAAGAATCAGGTTAAGGATAGAAAAAGGAGTAACGAAAGTTTATTCGGAGATCGAATTGTTGAGTACAGATGCAAACAAGCACAGAGGAAGAGATTTACATTGATGTCATGTCGTTCAGAGCGTGGTCCAGCTCTTCGCTGATAGCCTTGTACTTCAGTTTCTGAGCATACAACTCATCTAGTGGAATGACAGGGAAGACAGAGGTGGGTAATGTGAGAAGAGGAAACAAGGTCAAGATATGCAAGATGGAGAAGATGATTGACCACATTATCCAGCAGTGACAGCAATGAGAGGAGACGAGTAAGCACCCAGCCATAAGTAAAGAGGAAAAGACAAAGTCAGAGATGGGAAAATTAAGTCTACCACATCATGCAATTTACTAACCCCAGAAAGCAAAACCCTGCTTTCTGCAAACTCTTACATTTGAAAAAAACATTGCATTTAATCCCAGCAAAGTCAAGGTTCCACTATTCAACTGACATGAATGATGGCACAGAGCACCTTGACTATCAAATTCTGGTAAGATGACAAGTCACAAATACCGCCCTCCACCCGAGTCTCATGAATACCATTTATTTAGGTTATGCAGACCTAACAGCATATCTACCATTTGTTTCAAACAAATTTAAACACTAACTGAACTTCACTAAATCAACCAGTAACAATCCCGTGCCACAAAGCTTCCTTTCTTTCCACCCATTGCTATCCAATGGTCTTTCTAAGGTGTTGTTTTGTACCAGAAATAATCTTAAAACACCCGCACAAGTAAAAGCACAAGTCCATAATAACAATAATCCTACATTTCAGCCATTTTGGATATACAACTCTGTCCCAAATAAGACGAGCAAGATTGTAAAGCACTAACTGTTGATTTGGCAGTTTCACTAAATGTAAAAGCATATATACATACATAAAAGTACATAGCCCGTGATCATTTGAAGGGTAAAAAAATAAATTCAAGATCATACCCTCTAAGTCATCAATGGATTTTTCCAACTTGGCTACTGTCCTCTCAGCAAACTCAGCGCGAGTTTCAGCCTGCAAACAAACATAGCACTCGATGCTTAGAAAAAGTCAGCAGTAAGAAGATCCTAAACTGAACGAAAATTATTCAATGACATTACAAGTCCAACTGAATTCATATTTTCAGTTACCTCCTTCAATTTGTCACTCAGCACTTTAATCTCTTCCTCATACTTGTCTTCCTTTTGCGAGTACTGTTGGGGGGAGGGAGAGAGGGAGGGAGGGAGGAAGGGGGAAGAAGAACAAAGTTAATCAAAAGGTTACAAGACAGAAGGAATTGTTTACCAAATTTTTTTTTTGCCCAGTCAAGCATTTTAATTTACAAAAATGTCAAATAGAAATATTAGATTTACCCTCAATTCAAAGTTCTCATTGTGTAAGCAATTTGCTGTCGTACAGTTAAAAAGAATAAAATAGGTCATAGCTTAATGTGATCAGCTATCTTAGCGATTTCTGCAATTGAAATGTACTTTGAAAAAACATTTACTGTACAGCTGCTAATAGGGTTGAGCTTCTTTAGTAACCACGTTTAAAAGTAAATAATGTTGCTCTTCCTATTTCTTAAATATTGCAGTTTACCTTTGAAATCACTTCAAAACAAAACACAGTAACAAAAACATGTAATCTGAAACAATCCAGAACATGGAAAATAACCTGGGATGATTTTTGAAATCCTTTAAAACCGAATTAGATTGTAAAATCTGTTTTTAATATGAATCAGGGAAAACCATTGTAAAATAGCTTAAAAAGACGTCTCTGAAAGCAAGAAGTCGAGTGATCCAACGATGGGTTGATAGCAACCCTGGTAGCATCTATACCCTCTCCTACCTTCTCAGCCTGAGCCTCCAATGACTTCAGGTTGTTGGTCACAGTTTTCAACTCTTCTTCAAGCTCAGCAGATTTACTGTTTTACGTCAGGAAAAGAGGAGGAAGAGGAGCAAGAGTGGAGAGAAAGAAAACGATAGCCAAGGAATAAAAACAAAGAGGGAAGAGAAACAGAAAATTAAAACAAAACTCAATATAGAGTTTTTTTTAAAAAAAAGGAGCATTAAAGCAGCTGACTCATTGAGAAATGTTTTATTTTTAAAATAAAGTGTCCAATCCTGCCATTAACTTCACATTTAGAAAGAGAGGACATGCATGTGAATTGTTACTCAAGGAAAAACTAAATTAGTTTGAAATGTTTTTTTTTTAAAAAAAAGGTCAACTGCTTTTAGGCCACTGCTAAAGGAAGTAATATGTCAAGACTGATAATCTGACACGAAAAGAACACAGAGCATGAGAGTAGGAAGCAGATAAGAAAGTCAACATTTTTCCTTCGTTATGCTGTGTCATTCCACACAAAATTAATCCAGCAGTGTTCAGGCAGTGAGCAGAATTGGCCGTGGAGCACATTAGTTTCAGTACCTTTCCTTCTGCTGCTGTTAATGATTTGAAGGTTTGGTCCATTATGCAAATCTCTTCATCCAATTGACGAACTCGGCTGTTAGTGATCACGAGAAATGCACAAGGCCATTCACAAAATCATAGTGTGCAATGAAAGCATGCAGTGAAGAAAAGAAACAGCACATTAAAACTCAAAACAGGACACAGCCAACATGTTTAACATCAGACAAGGAAGTCCATTAGTATTTTAAAGTTTCGAGCACTAGGCTGTCCATATGCATTGTCCAAAACAATGTTTGAAGTTACATAACTTATACACGGATGATATTCAATTCAGACACAATATGAAAAATGTATGTTCTAATCAAATATTTTATAAAATGGCAAACACTTGCAACAACAATTTGTTTTGGTGTGTAAGCATGTTGCACGCGGGTTTGTTAAGGGATTGGGGTGACTGAAAAGTTGCTTTAAGAGTGTTTTAGTAAATGCACTGGAATGAAAACAATACATACGACTCTGAAAGTTCAGCACGCTCTTCAGTGCGTTCCAAGTCACTCTCAATGATCACCAGTTTACGTGCAACCTTAAGGAATGAAATTAAGAACATTTTGAATGATTTTCAACAGACATCCTACATGTACCAGAAAGTCAAGTTACAATATTATTGCAAACATATGAAAGCTATATAAAAATAATAAAAACCTAAAACCTGGCATGAATAGCATTGGAAACAGCTTCCATCTATGCTTTGTTTAAAAAATTATTAGACATGAATGCTGATTCCTAATATTATATAATGAAATTAATATTCGTACTATTTTAAATTGTTGCCTCTAAAGATGGAAAATGTCTTAATTTGTTCTGAATCAGGATTACTTAAGTTTGTCTTTCAGTCATTGCTATTGTTTGGATTTAACTAGTTCTGTGTAAACCGTAAACAATTGTGTTCAATTAAGAACTGACCTCTTCATATTTGCGGTCAGCCTCCTCAGCAATGTGCTTAGCCTCTTTAAGCTGGATCTCCTGCAATTCCATCTTCTCTTCATCCTTCAGGGCTCTGTTCTCAATAACCTTCATACCTCTGTGGGAAAGGGAAACAAAGAACACAGGAATAAATCACAAAATCTGGAAAAAAATACAGCTGTTTCCACTTTTAGAACTATAACATAAATAGCATTAAGCTTCAATCTGCCTCCATAATGCCAAAACGTGACAATGTAATGCCAAATATTTAAGATGACTAAACTTCACATATAGGTGAAAAATAGCATTTTATAATGGTGTAAAGATACATTTTCAAAAGCATTTTAGTTTTCCAAGGTCTGCCATACGCCACATTAACTGGCAGCTTCACAGGAATGAATGATGCGTTTAAGTCTCAATTTTGCCACTGGAAACCCTGTGTTTGGTACCAGTTCTGCAATGTCATACAAAATTTGAGATGACTCAAGCAAAACAGTGAATTATGTGCCGCTATATATTTAAACTTGCATGGGGAAGTGCCTTTGGATTCCAAGTCAAATATCTAAACTATTTGACCACCACAGCAAGCAGTTCTACAAGATAAACTAAGTGTGTGTGTGTCTGTGAGGGGGTTTGGGGGGTTCTGAAGGCACTAATTGCTGCATTCAAAGTGGTGTTTATCATGCTTCCATTCCTTCCAATGCTTCTGCCAGCACTACCTGGCATGTTTTTCCTGGCTGTCAGAAACCAGAGAACTCAACCCATACAGGTCAACACGTGTTTCTTAAAGTGCTGGCACATACAGACCTGGAAAACATCCATGGCAAGAGAATGAACATTGCAGTTTGCAACTTGAAAATAATTGAGCATGTAAAGTCACTTCCTTATTGCTGCCAATTGTGTGGATTATGTCCCTTAAGTAAATTGGTTGGAATCCAGAATATCAGTAGGCTTATTGTACTTCAGACCAACATCTATTTAAATCAGCTCTGCAGTGTGCCTGAATATACATATGAATAACTGTTCTTTTATAGTTGATTGCCAATTCACATGGTAAAGTAGAATTACGGGGTTATGCAAGATAAAACTCGGAATAAGATGCATTTAAAACATGGTTAAAGAGAAATATGGATGTGAATAAGTTTCCTTTTTACAATTTCCTTGTTTTTTGGGTGGGACAAATGTAGAAGAAAATGTAAAACACAATGTAAAATTAGGGTCAAATGTAATTACTGATAATGCAGGATTTTCTGATTTGAGAAAGGGTTTAACAAGTTCATTGCAAGGATTTTTGTTGAATTATATTGTTTGGTTTCACTTTGTAAGTCAAATTTCATTTCTAAGCTGTTAACCTTCTGATGAACATCAACAGATACAGATCTTTTCTAATTTTCTCTATAAAAATATTGGCCAAAATAATGCGCTCACATTTCAGAGTGAACAGGCGCCAAGTGACTTCAGGTGCTATAGGATCACAGAGCCATACATCAATATATTTGTTTCCAGAAGTATTGAGACCATCTATAGCACTCAGGATATTGTTCCACCTGAGATCATTTATCTTTTATTAATTGGTGTCTAATAGACACAGAAGCCCATTGCTGTTCAAGAGAATTGAAACCAAGAAGGAGATCCACATATACAAGGGAATTTCCCTTGGTTTGGAATAGAGTGCACACTTTTCCCTTCAGGAATGATGGAGACTGATTGTATCAACAAATAGAAAAGGAAATTAGATAGTTGTTTTGTGAAGAGTTGAATTGAGGGATACGAGAGCTAGATTATTTAATTTTTTTTAAATCAAAAAACTTTGGTCTGATACACAGTCTTTTCTGGTTGAGTATTTTTCCTGTGTAGCCTATACCTGCTGACCAGTACTCTAGTAGTTAATAAAGAATCAGCAGAACATTTTAGGAAACTGTAACAAAAGAATATGGTTTGATACAAAACTTGTAGTCAATTCACTTTACACTATATTCTGTGAACCGCTTTGAGACTTGAAGACGTGATAAGGCGCTATATCAAATGCAAGGATTATTATTTTTATTACTATTGTAGAGAGAGTGTGTCTCTTCTAACTTCTGCACTGCTCGAAACCATGCCTTGTGCAAACTCACCTCTCACTCTCATCTGCAGCCTTCTCGGCCTCCTCCAGCTTCTGCAGAGCAGTAGCCAGGCGCTCCTGGGCACGATCCAACTCTTCCTCAACCAGCTGGATACGTCTGTTCAGGGAGGCGACATCAGCTTCAGCCTAGCCAATGATGCAAATAAGCCATAAACAACTGGACAAACACAAAATGGCACAAAACACTCCAGAACAGAAGCACCAAGTGTACAAGCTGTGCACTGGTGCGATACAGGGTCATAATGTCACTTTCTCTCCCCTTATCTTCGGTGCTCAAGCACATTTTATTTTGGTTTAGAAAGCATACGCACAGTGTTATCGTAACCAGCGTAAACTGTAATTTTAACCTACTGTGAGAAAGGTTGATATTTAGTATTTCACAGTATTAGAATGGGGTAACCATTCTTTAGACAATGATTGTTGTCCTACTAATTCTATGTCTTGTTTTGAACTGACAAGTGAGACTATCTAGGAAGTGTATTACATAGAAAGGTTTTCCTGAATGTTAAATGTTGTTGAGAAATGTTGGGAAAATGATTAAAATCATTTTTTGGGGAACATTCAATTCTTGCTACAGATGGAAAGATAGTCTAGACTAGTGGGTATATCACATGTTTGGACTCACAACGTTCCAGTAGCATTATTTCTGCAGTTAGATGAAAGAAGTTAAGCCATAAAAGGCAATAATAACAGTGCTTCTCTGGGGAGAAAAATGTCTAAATTTTACTTACTCACTCATTTGTGGGAACTGGCCAAACCATTATTAGCACATTACCCATTTTTTGCATCTCATGTGTTTGCCCACAGCAAACTTTAAGCTTTTGTTAAAAAAAATCAAGCACTAAAACGGTTTAAATCCAAGCGTATACCTTTTAAAAATAAGCAAGGTGTCATTTTACAAACGAAAATGTATTCAGATCAGTTTGGAGTAACAGTCTACAGTTAACGTGTCTATAATAACTGGTTTCAAACTAAGAACTACACCACATTTTCTATGAAGCAAGCTGCAGAATTCAACAGAAAAAAATCCAAGTTGATACCAACTGGAGTGTTATTTCAAAAAGGAAGTCTCTAAAAACTTCTCTATTCCTGTTGAGAACATGTTTGCATTGCAAATCACAATGCGAGCAAAACACTGCAGCTCTATATTGCTGATGCTGAATTTGAGAATTACAACAACTTACATGGGGCAGTGTAATTTAAATCAACTGAAATTTTTCATGAAACTAACGTTCTGGTGTGACTTCACAGAAACATTTGTGGCATTTTTTTCTCTTTTCTCTCCCTCTCCCCCACCCCCAAAATAAGGCACCAACTCTTTTAAGAATACAGTACTACTGGCACAATCAACCACTGAATCTAATCAGTGGAGGATTACCCAACATTCTCATTCCTTCTTCCTCCCCATGTACATCACCCAGTGACTATTTTTCCTGCATGAGCCCAAACAGTAAGTGTTAAAACTATTCACCTGTGAGGGGATCAGGGCCAAGTCTGATCTGGTCCTCAGTTGCCGTTCAGACATTTACACTTTACAGTAGTGGTTATTGGATATTGATCAGAAGCCACAAGATTGAAACTGGGTACACCTAAGCCCTTTTGCAAAACCCCAACTGCTGCCATGGAGTACGAATTAAACATAGACCTAACACAGGGTAGAAATTAAACTTCCAACCCTGTGATTTACATGACTAATGTTACATGTATGGCGTCTGTCGATTCACCAGAACTGGTTTGATAATGAGCCACACCTAAAAAGAAAATTTTGAGGGGAATTATTTTTGGGAATCCTACATTATTATTATTATTATTATTATAATAAAACTCGATCTGATATTGCTTTCTCGCATATCCTGATGACACTCTACTTTAACTTTGATTCAAGTCCACAACTCCCAAAGTTGTGAAAGGTCATCGGAGCTTCCTGCAACTTTTATGACTGAATCAAATCAGTGGAGGATTGCCCAACACCCTCATTCCTTCTTCCTCCCCATGTTACAAAGTTTCAGTGCAAGATTCATTGCCCTTATACAGCAATAAAGCAAAATCAAGATTGGTAACATCAGCAAAAGTGCTGGACTGGATTACTGCACTCAGAAAAGCCAGGGGAAGTGGGGTGTGAACAAAATCATTCAATGCCCAACTTTCTCTCCAAAGCTTCTCTTTAGGCTGAGATTATTCCGGGAAGGACACATGCCTAGAATTCAAAAAGAGAAGCAAAAGAGAAATCCAGTCAAACATGGTTCTGTTAAAATGGGACAAGATTGAAAAAAAGGGGGTGAGGGGTGGGGGCAGTGATGTATATTTAAAGGGAAGCCTTTTCCCCTAATTTTCCAGAGATAGCCTTTGTTCCACTGGGGTTGAAATCCTACAAAACATTCTGAGCTGAGCCCAGTTAAGTTATGCAGCTGCCATTCCTTTGTACTTCACACGAGCTGATCTGAGCAAACTCCTCCAGTGGATTTAAAGGATTAAACCAAACCCTTTGCCCTGATCACGGGCCAGTGCAAATTCACAGCAACGAGGAAAGGCACAGCATTTCTCTGCCCTTCAGGGCCAACTCAAACAACAACAAAAAGAATTGGGATTTACCTACAGAAAAGGTTTCTCAGGGCTTAAGGACATAAAGCGCTACCCATTTCGATTGCTGCTCTAATGCAAATATATTGCACTTGTTCCAATGTGTCTGTGTGGGTAAAAAAAAATCCCCCTGAAAACTCTATAGACTATGTCTCCCAAGTGATATCGAGAGCAATAATATTCATTTCACTGTGCACTTGTCAACAGCAGAAAATACGTTTCTCACTCTATAGTTTTTACTGCTCAAAACCAGGAAAAAAAGATATAAATATTCTACGGGGAATCCAGGCAACCAGTTAAAAGCCTCATTCGCAAGGGCAACGAATAGAGGATACAATTTGAATCGAGAGGGATTTGCCTGGTGATCTCTCAGGAAAAAAACAATTTGAAGTGTGAACTGCATTGTAACGTTTCAAGGCAGAGATGGTCGACTTCCAGTTGGAGATGCAGAGCATCTGTGGAAACCGACAACATCACTTGGCATCCCACCGCCCCTCATCACCCCCCCCCCCCCCACCCACCCTCAAACAAGGGGGTTCTCAAAACTAAAAGCAAAGCTGCAAATACGATTTGCAAACTGATAACTGACAGTCGGAAGGTTGGCCACATTGGCTGTGACCTGTTGTGAGAGCCACAACACTGGCCCTTGGTATCCCACCTTGTGAAAAGAACAGCACAGAACCCAGAGGCTGGGAGAGAGCTGCCTGGGTGCTGTGTGTGATGTGCTGCATGTGTTGCTTCTGCTGTGTGTGCTGTGCGTCTTGTGTGTGCTGTATGTGCTGTGCGTGTTGTATGTGCTGTGATGTGCATGCTGTGCATGTTGTATGTGCTGTGATGTGCATGCTGTGCGTGTTGTGTGTGCTGTATGTGTGTGTGTGCTGTGTGTATGTGCTGTGTGCTGTATGTGCAGTGTATGTGTGTGTGCTGTATGTGCTGTGTGTGTGCTGTATGTGCTGTGTGTGTGCTGTATGTGCTGTGTAAGTGCAGTGTGTGTGTGTGCTGTATGTGCTGTGTATGTGCAGTGTATGTGTGTGTGCTGTATGTGCTGTGTGTGCAGTGTGTGCTGTGTGTGCTGTATGTGCTGTGTATGTGCAGTGTGCTGTGTGTGTATGTGCTGTGTATGTGCAGTGTGTGTGCTGTGTGTGTGTATGTGCAGTGTGTGTGTGTGCTGTGTATGTGCAGTGTGTGTGTGTGTGCATGTGCAGTGTGCTGTGTGTGTATGTGCAGTGTGTGTGTGTGTGTGCTGTGTGTGTATGTGCAGTGTGTGTGCTGTGTGTGTGCATGTGCAGTGTGCTGTGTGTGTGCAGTGTGTGTGTGTATGTGCTGTGTGTGTGCAGTGTGTGTGTGTATGTGCTGTGTGTGTGCATGTGCAGTGTGTGTGCAGTGTGTGTGTGTATGTGCTGTGTGTGTGTGCATGTGCAGTGTGCAGTGTGTGTGTGTGTGTGCATGTGCAGTGTGCTGTGTGTGTGCAGTGTGTGTGTGTATGTGCTGTGTGTGTGCAGTGTGTGTGTGTATGTGCAGTGTGCTGTGTATGTGCAGTGTGTGTGTGTGCAGTGTGTGTGTGTGTGTGTATGTGCTGTGTGTGTGTGTGTGTGTGCAGTGTGTGCTGTGTGTGTGCAGTGTGTGTGTGTGCTGTGTGTGTGCAGTGTGTGTGTGTATGTGCTGTGTGTGTGTATGTGCTGTGTGTGTGCAGTGTGCTGTGTGTGTGCAGTGTGTGCTGTGTGTGTGCAGTGTGTGTGTGTGCAGTGTGTGTGTGTGTGTATGTGCAGTGTGTGTGTGTATGTGCTGTGTGTGTGTATGTGCAGTGTGTGCTGTGTGTGTGCAGTGTGTGTGTGTGTGTATGTGCAGTGTGTGTGTGTATGTGCTGTGTGTGTGCAGTGTGTGTGTGTGTGCAGTATGCTGTGTATGTGCAGTGTGTGCTGTGTGTGTGCAGTGTGTGTGTGTGCAGTGTGTGTGTGCTGATGGGTGCCGAGGCCCTGCTGGGAGCTGTGAAGGTGACTCGCTCTCACTTGCTCTCTGCTTTGCCGTTCCGTGTCTACGTCGTTCTGCAGCTTTTCTGCCTTTTCCTCAGCGATGTCTGCCTGATCCTGCAAGTTTCTAATCCTCCTCTTCACTGCTTCAATGGATGTGAGACCGGCCATAATTTCACTTCTTTTTCTCTCTCTCTCTCTCTCTCTATATATATCTAAATGCACTTTGTTTTTTTGCAAAAACCCCCCTTTAAATTTACACCCCAACTCCCAAAGCGGAAAGTACAGCCTAAAAAAATACACTCCCAGTTACGTCTGCACTCACAACCGGAAATACCTCTGATTTTAAACCCACCCCCATCCTTTGCCAAAGCAAAAAAAAAAATTTTTTTTTGAATTATAATAAAATATTACCAAATCAGACCAGCCTTGCACTTGGGACGATATTATACAATTTAAAACACTTAAAACCGAGTTTGCATTTTTTTTTCTCTTTCTCTCTCTTTCTCTTTCTCTTTCTCCCTTTGGGTGTCACGCCCAGATATTATAATTCTTGAAGGTTGCACATTCCAAGGTGTTTGAAATGGGTTTGTGTTCAATCGCCACCTACAGGTTAATTCCAAACCACACACACACACACACACACTGACTCACTCACTCACTCACTCACTGCCATGAGATCACCTTCAAAGACATAGAATGATAAACATCACTGATCAATTGCAAAATGCAAAATACTGCAGATGCTGGAAATCCGAAACAAAACAAAAAACTCGAGTTCGCTGGGAACGCTCAGCGGCATCTATGGAGAAAGGAAAGTGAGTCAACGTTTCGGGTCCACGACCCTTCGTCAGAACTCCCATCAGAACTGTTCCGACGAAGCGTCACGGATCCGAAATGTTGACTCATTTGCCTTTCTCCATAGATGCTGCCCGACCTGCTGAGTGTTCCCAGCGACTTGTGTTTTTGTTACTGATCAATTTCATCTTGTTATTCCAAAAATATAATTTCCCCCCCCCAATTTTGATGTTGTTAACTGAGAATGACTCTGGGGTATGGCAAACAAGCTCTGGTCCTGACATGAGGTTTTAGTTAGGTTTTGGGGTTCTTATAAGTCTTACTGCAGTAAAAAAATGTAATATGCATGTGGCATTTATTCCACAAATGTTTGAAGGGTTGACTCATGTGGTGACCTAGCAACCTCCTCTTTCAGCTCTGGGATTTGAGGATTTGAATTTTGTCTAAACTGGGGAAATGGTCATGTTCTTTTATGGGCTGCGGTTCTGGATCCAGGAGAACCTCCTGCACTGACCCAGACGGGTGGGGGAACGGGCGAGTTCTGAAGCTGAGATACCACTTTGTTGAAGGACAGAAAGGCTGCTTCTGTGGCTGGCAAAAATTAACTTGGGAATTCAAATTGGGGTCTCAATGGTGAGCAAGGAATGGGGTGGTGGGGAAGGGTCTATTCCCAACACTTGATCAGCAAAAGAAAACACAAAAATATAAATACAGGTTTGAATGCCGCGGTTGTGAGCATCCAAATAACTATCATAACTGTTGCTAAGCTAGGGATGGGAGATCAGTCATGGTTCCCACACCTGAACTCTGGATGGGAGGGGAACATAGGGAGGGGAGGACTGAGCTATGGCACCAAATTCCATAAGCCAAATGATCTGCTGACCCTCATTATTCAGGCTCGCACATTGAAGAATGGTTACTTGGGAGAGGTCAGGCAAGAATTAGGAGCATCCATGGAATTGTACCTCAGAGATGAGTCCCTACCCACAGAGGAGCAGGAAAGTAGAATGAAAAAAAGCAAGTTGTTTCTTTAGGGTAGCTGTTGCCTAACCTGAATACTCAGCCAATTTTCTACCTTGAAAACCCAAGAGTGCCGACTAATATTTTATATGAAATATGTTTCATTTTTATCCCTGTAAATTCTGATTCTCTCAAACGATCTTTAATATTTCACGATCCAAGTGAGAGAAGTCTGTTGAGTAGGCTGGCAGAAAAGATTTCAGAGAAGCCTGGATGCTTTGAAAAGCCCTGCAGCTTACAGACCAGGAGCTCACTGGTTCAAAGTTTGCTGGTCTCAGCTCGTGCTGCAATGGGGAGACTAAATTGTTTCAGGCCTTCCAGGGGTTGAGGGGGAAAAAACTAGCCAGGGTCACTGCTCCTGGTCCTTCGACTGGTTGTGTGGGTGTGTGGCAGGGGGGTAGGAAGAGGTCAGACTCTACCATGGTGCTCTTTACAATTGAGTGGCCTTCTCACACTCACTTCCAAGGCCCACATATGAACTTGGTTGGGTTCTTCTGGAGGTTAACCAGTGCCTGTGCAATTGCACTCTAGCAAGAGGATATTAGACAAGGAGCAGAGATCCATATGCCAACGGAGAGAAAATTTAGAAAAAAAGAACTTAACAAAATAAAAATAAAATTAAAAGAAAACTTACAGAAGAGATATGTTTGTTTCTGGTTCTATCCCAAAGTCAAATAGAAATACCCACAAAAATTAAACTTAGGAGTGTCACAGTCATTCCCTGGAATAAGTATATATATTCAAATTTGAAACTAAAATAAGAACCGAACGTTAAATGTTAAAATACAAGAATCATGTTAATTATCAGAAATATTGTTGTTTCCTTTCAGTTTAACCACTAGTCCATTGGGGTAAGTGATGATCTTTTGTTCTTAGATGCCAGACATGCAACTGCTACTTGGAATAGTCAGCATACTTTTCCTTTTAAGGAATATCTCACACTAACCTAACTTCAACTCATATTACAAATAGATGGCTTCCATGTGGTTAAATGGTTTATTGCAAGACGTCCGTTGTGCTTGTATTTTCTAACGTTAAGTCATTGGATCAGGAGTAAAGTACATTTTTAAAACCGTACATTTAAAAATAAATACTTATGGAACATTTAGTTCAATTATTTGCAATGTTGGGGTTCTTTTTCTTTTGTTTGTGTTTGGAGAAAAAAAAACTGTTGGAGCTTAAAATAATTTAAAGATATCTCAACGAGCAAATGAGTCAGTCTCCGCTTGTATGTCAAACGTGTTAGACACTCCTGTTCAACAAGCGAAGAAGAATTTAATACTGGTTAGGAGGCAAGTCCTGGGAGATCGCTTGTAGCTCAATACCATATAAAGCACTGAGCTAAATATAACCACCCCGTTAGCTCGCAGAACACCCTGCAAATATCCCTCTGAAATAAGCCAGCCTTAAACCTCGAAAAAAATAAGGTTTATTTTTGTACCTCAGATGAAATCTTGGTGTTAAGTGACAGGGCCGTTTACAATGGAATGGTAGACGAGGGAATTATTTATTATAGGGGAGAGATACCACGATCAGTCACAATACGCCCCGTGATTGAAGAAGGAGATTTAAGATGAAGATTTAAGATGAAGATTTAAGATGAAGATTTAAGATGAAGATTTAAGATGAAGATTTAAGATGAAGGTTTAAGATGAAGATTTAAGCATGCAAGGCAGGAACTGAAGAGTCTTGTAGAGACTGAAAGGGGGGTGGGGGGGGTGGGGGGAATAGTGCTGGTGGTGGGCTTGGTGTTTTTTTTTTAAGCTGTGATGGGAAAGCGTGGGCTACTCACATCAGTGGCTTTCTTCTCAGCCAGCTCCAACTTCTCCTGAGCATCTTTCAGGGCTTCAGAATATTTGTCCAGCTCATCTTCAGTGCCCTTCAGCTTCTTCTGCAAAGCTACTAACTCATCCTCCAGCTGAGCTCAGTCAAGTCATTTTCCCCCCAGCAGAGCGTGTGGACAGACAGGCAAGGGCATGGCAAGCCAAGCCCAGCCAAGCCAAGCCCAAGCCCAGCCCAGCCCAGCCCAGCCCGGCCCGGCCAGGCAGAGAGACAGAGACCCGACCGGGGGTGATCGCGTAGAGTGGTCCGCACGGGCAAGTGGTGGGGAGGGAGAAGAAAGACAGACAGAGACAGGGAGAGGGAGAGAGGAAAAAAGAGAGAGAGAAAAAAAAAGCAAGACGGATGAGTTAGCTTATGTTTTAACTGACTCAAAAGAAGTACCTTAGTTGCGTTCTCCTCCGCCACCAGTTGGCGCTCCTCAGCTTTGTGGAAATCTTCCAAAATTTTATCTCTCTCGTCCTCCACCGCACGCAACTTCTTTTCCAATTGCACATTGTCATCCTCAAGCTATATATGCGTATGTATATATATATATATGTATATATACACACACACACACACAGTACATATAAACACACACGCAATTAATACACAGACGGTTTGAGACAAATCTGCTCCAAAAACACAAAAAAGGCTACTTCGGCTTTTGAAATTCTCTGCGCTCTTTGCATCGGGGGACGTCTCATTATTTGGGCTCCGAAGCAAACGAGAATGTTTAAAAGTCCCAACTTTTGTCCTCTTCCCATCCCCTCCCATCCCATCCCTTCCCATCCCATCCCCCCATCCCCCCCCCCCATCCCATCCCCTCCCATCCCATCCCATTCCCCATCCCATCATCCCTCCCCATCCCTCCCATCCCATCCCCATCCCTCCATCCCTTCCCATCCCATCCCTCCCATCCCTTCCCATCCCCCCTTCCCGCAACCCATAACACGTCGGTTAACACGTTTCTTTTTTTTTAAAAAAAAGAAAAAGAAAACACGGGATCGAAAGCGTCTGAGCCTCAACAGCTGCGATTTTTGTTTTTGTTTAGGTTTAAAGTGTTAGTTTTTTTGTTGTTGTTGTTAGCTTTGCAAGTCCCAGCTCTGTTTCCACAGACACGACAAGACGGGACGGGACAGACCTGTTTGCTCCTGTCCTCGGCTGCCTTCTTGTCGGCTTCTGCTTGCTCGGCTCTGTCAAGGGCATTCTCCTTGTCCAGCTTCAGCATCTGCATCTTCTTCTTGATGGCGTCCATGGCTGCTTTCTGGGGTGGGCGGGTGGCTGAGCCTCCAAAAAAAAAATTAAAAAAAATAAATGCAAACTTCGGGGGGGAAAAAAAACCAACCAAAAAAAAAAGGAGGAGAGGAGGAGAGGAGAGGAGAGGAGAGGAGAGGAGGGGAGAGGTGGAGGTGGAGATGGAGATGGAGAGAGGAGAGAGAGAGGAGGCTGGTGTGGCTGATTCGGGCGCTGGGCTCAAATGCACCGCATACGGTTCTGGCCTCACAAATATGTCCTTCGTAGGAGAGGGCAGATTAAATTCCTTTGGACATTTAATACTTTTTTGGAAAGGGATTGGATGTGTCTCTGCCCTGTGGCCGGTGCACAGCCAATCGCCTTCGCTGGTGTACCAGACGATTCGCTGCTCTGAGATATTTGACCACCGTATATGGGATCCTGGTGTGTGTGTGTGTGAGTGTGTGTGTGTTTGGGCACATTTCTCGTCAGCACATTTTCCTATTTCTAAACACAGCCACTCACACACTCACACACCAAAAAAACTACATCCACAGACCAGAGGGCTGGGGTGGGGGTGGGTGGGTGTGTGTGTGTGTTCTCAAAAGGCTCGTAAGATTTCCTTCAATTTATCACACAGATCAGATCACTTTCCCCACTCCCCCCCACCCCCCCACCCCCCTTCCACCCCCTCCCACCCCATCGAAGATTTCATCTCCTCCCTTTACCTCTTCATCTCCAAATCTGATACTTCAAACATCAGACGCTATAGTTATTCCCTGGTCACAGCAAACCGAGCTGTTAACAGGAAGCTACAGATACTAATCCCTACATGAAAGTGATCAGCCCAGGACTTAATCCCATCCTCCCGGCTCCTGATAAAACATTGTTTAAACAGTTAGATCGGTTGTGAAGTCTCTTGAACAACCCCCCACCCCACACACCCACACACACCCACCCACACACACACACACCCCTCCTCTCTCTCTCACTCTCTCTGCATTCGTTCAGTCACCACATAGAAAAATGGATCCATCTAAAAAGTGGGAGCGGGGAATATAAAGTTAGACCACACAAGTGACGTTCTCCCCTCTACATTCCCAAACCTGTTTTTTGGGGGTGTTGTTGTTGTTGTTGTTGTTGGTGCTGGTGGTTAAGGTGGTTTTAACGGGTAAGTACTGCTCTCAGTGGGATACTCTGGAGAGGGAGGTGATTAACCTCTCTGTCGGTGCTGTGGTGGTTTATCAGCTGAAAAGGCACCTTCTCCCGAATGATAGATTTCTGGAGTTCTTTTACGAGGTGTTCAAACTTCCCAGTGAGGTCGTACTGACAGAAACCCGGATCCACATCGCCAGTGATATTAATTGCAAACCGTTCCCCGTGGGGTACACGCAGATTCCATGTTCAGGGCTCAGAGCGGATACTGGATACGACCGGGAGTGAGTGCACTTGGTATCTCAAGGGGTGCAATAATTTGAGCAAAGTTTCAACGCGGGGCCAGAGTCCATTCTGTGGACAGACTGTGCCAAGTTACGCGGAAACCTCCCTCCCTTCCCGTTACCTTTGCACCGAGGGATCAGCAGCTCTTTAACCAAAAAGCTACCGCAGAACCCGGCAATTCAGTGAAAGTCTTGAGCCCTTTGAAACCATCATTGTCAGCATTAATCCGCGAGATTCGAGTCTGTACCGAGTTAGTGGTGCACACTGTTTAATAATAATAATGATGATAATCAATAATAACCCTTGCATTGGATTATAGGGCTTTCATTGCGTTGTTGGGAAGTCTTAAAGCGCTTCGCAGGATGTATGTTTATTTCGTGGGAGAAACATGAATGTATTTCGTACGCATTGAACACCAGCAGCAACACATAATGAAATTTACAATCTTTCCAACAGTCCAGAGTTTTATTGCCAAAGGCCCAGGGGTAAGATAAGAGTGTTGAATGACAATATTTAATTAAAGCTGCCGCTCGAACCGGGCTCATTGCAAACAAACATTCCAGATAAACTGAGTCACTCTGTTAAACATCTTACCAAAATAAACCTGACCCCAAAAATATTTCTTCCCCAGCTTGCCCATGCCTGGTTATTATTTGCTGGTTATTGTGCTGGACCGGTGTGCTCAATGCTTCCCCTAACTTTGACTTTTAATTCGTTAGAAATCGAAACGTTCACTTGGAGAGATTCTGCGATTCAACCTTTTAACACGTCTCCAGTGTTAATTAATGATATATTTCAAACCGTCTCAATGATTCTGTGTCTGTTTCACAGCAGATAGTCCCCTACAAACTTTATTTAATTTGTTACTTGTCACTGTTTAATCCAGTTTCTTCCTGTAATACAGGAGAGGCTGCAGAATCCAGCACAAAACCAAAGGCTTGGTACAGCAAATTAGACACATTTATTTTAGGAAATAATATGGTGGGATACAGTATATGGTTCGGGACGTGACATGGGCATGCGTCTGCCGGGATGGCGGAAGGTGAACTGGATGGATATTGGTCGAGCAATTCTTATGTTCTTATGCTGTGTTCACCCACCCTGTCCATTTTCTGCAATGGGATTGATCTCAGCTTCCCAGCCCCAAGTGTGCGTCGGAAACGCACAAAATCTCCCCAAAAAACATTTATAATAAAAAAGTGAATAAGCCTCAATCTAGATCCAGTTCCCTATAAATCTGGTTGTCACTTCTTTCAAAAGCATGTTGTTGTTGTGGTTAATTCTCACTGCAAAACAACATTATCTTTCAAACGTTGAATATTCAATGGCAAGCTAAGCGGTTAGACTCCAGCGGCATGAAAACTCATGCTCTGGGGTTCCCCAAGCCTCGACTCTTGCCAACCTGCGCCTAATACTTTCCGGAATTAAGTAAGCAGGATGCGTCTCTCCAGGGAGTGAGTACGCATTCCATTCCACAAGAAATATATCGTGGAAAATACACATTGAAAAATGCAAATAGGTTAGCAAAGGTGGAGAATGAATACATCCATTGTTTTTTAAATCCATAATAGCACAAGGAGATTTAACCAGTGAGAGTGAACACATAAAATAATATAGCTATACTAATTCACAAAGGAGAGCTTTTGAATTTGCAACCTCCATTTATAGCAACTTTTATTATAAGCCCTCGAAAACTCCCCCCCACCCCCCACTCTTTCCCCCCAAAAATCTTCACCAACTTTCCTCTGAAAAAACCCTAGTCTGATTTTTTTTTCTGAATACAATTGCATTATTTTCATTATTTTATGGACAATGTGGGTTTCTGGGCAGTGATTCATTTCGCTTGAAGTTAAGACTGAAAAGTGTTTCACTTCTGATTTTTGCCCTGCCGATGCTAAATTCTGCACCATTGCCAGTTCTTCAGAAAAGGACACAGTGTACATTGCTCAGAGGTTTCTGATCCCCAATAATGTCATTTGTTTGGATTATTTATGAATATGAATAGTAATGAATAGTAACTAACACAAGGGCGCACAATGATGGTTTTCAGGTTTCTCAATAATATAGAGGATGTATCCAATATATACAATCCACAAAATACAGTCAATTCACTTTACAGTATATTCTTTGAGGTGCTTTGAGACATCTCGAAGACATGATAATGCGCTATATCAAATGCAAGGCTTGTATCATTCTACACTGACAATATTCAAGGGATTTTAACTGTTTCATTGAGCACTATCACGACTTTCGCAACTGTCTATATGTTTGATGGGGACACATTGTTTCACATGGAATCCAGAAAATAAATGGTAATGATTGGATAAGATGATATCATGCACACACTTATTTGAGTTATTATTGGTAATAATTTGCTGCAATCTAACATTAGCTATTCGCCTTCAAATGAGTCAACTGTTTACATTTAATAACATACATTATTGTATTGGAGCCAATTAAATTTCAATGCATTAAAATTCTTCTGAAAGCAAAGTGATTGGTATAATATCAGAAGATCACAAGATAAGTTCAGATGAAGAAGGTCATTTCATCCCTCTGATCTCCTCCCTCTAGACTAACTGCCCTCACATCACAGCATCAAGCTACACCCGTGATTCAGGACTTGTTGTTTAATACAAGAGCAAACAAAGGAAAGTTGGATTCCAAGTGTGATTATGTTAGGGTTTTGCAGTATGACAAGCACATTATGGGGAGGTCATTGAATTACAAATGTACTCGTAGGCCATGCGTTGAATAAATGCAGCAATTATGATTTATTTTAATCAGACTTGGAGGAGGTGGTGTTGCTTTGTTAGAAAAAGGAGCTATTGTCAAGAAGAGATGAGAAAAGTTGCAGCAGAATAAACAAGTGCAAATAGAACAGGAAACAAAGAGGAACAAAACGATATAATCAATAGCTGAAAGATTAAAGAAAAAAATCAAATTACAGGACCAGGAAACTAGACAGGGAGGTTAAGGGAGTAAAGACCATAATTACATTTATAAACATAAATGCCAGAAGCATTCAAAATAAAATGGTTGAACCAGAGGCACCAGTAACAGCCACTAACTATTACAGTTAGGAATCCTTGAGACATGAATGAATCAGGAAGATGGAAGTCAAAATATGTTACAAGACATTCCCAAAAACAGAGCCAGCATTGTGGAGAAAGTCATTGTACAGAGCTCTCTGGTTAGAGAAAGGGGCCAAAATAACATTTTAACAAAAGGGATTTGCTACCGACTGATGGGCCAAAGTAAAGAGAACGACTTGTCACTTTATTAGAACATTAGATAAAACATTAGTGAGGAAAAGAAGGTTGCTCTGATGGGGAACTTCAATCAGAAACTGGGAATCCCTAAACAGGAAGACCGCTATGCTTTTCCATGTTGTGCAAAATTACTTCCCCGCTCAATAATGTTGACCAAGATGTATTCTTCTATACGTCCAATTGAAAATATTTTTGTTACTGTACAATAAAGTTAAAGAAGTAAAACATTTTCTTATTTTTATTCAGAAAATAATGCTAAATAAGAAATATTCTGAGGCACTACCGATTTTCCCAGTTCTATCCAATTTTTGGGAATGTTGCATGGGAACCACACAGCATACTTTTAACTCAAGCAATTAAAAAAGAATGGACAAAATGAAGGGAAGTGGGTATTCACAACATATATAATCAAAGAATGAGTACGACAAGTCAAAATGGTTATATATCCCTATTTGTTTTGGAGAATTCTGGTCTTCTGATCGGGTTACCTTTGCTTCAGTCAGGCACAGCTGTAACTTCCTGTGTTTATGAACTGTCTGGAGAAACATGCCAGAGCCCTACATC